AGGCGGTTCTTGGAGAGATGAAATGATGGTCAGCCTTCGTTCTCTCGCCTCCGCCGTTGGCTGCATTCATGATGAGGAAGAAATATGCCATCTCCAGCCTGCGGGCGAACCTTTCTGTAATGACTTTTCGTTTTTATTATTTATTGTCTTTTTTCTTTTATTTATTTTATTATTTTTTTTGTATTTTCATCTTGTTTTCTTCTTTAATGGTTGGGACCCGGGTTCTGGATCCAATTGTTCAAGGATTTCACGCTCAGCTGCCCCCCGATTGGTGGCTTGCATTGGGGTTCTTGGGACTTGGAGAACCTTTAACCCACTGGGCTCCAAACTCACCCTTTTTCGGGCAGATTTGATATCAACTGCCAGAACAGGTTCCCCTTTTTTTACGCTGGGCTTTTGGGTGGAGCCCCAAGGGTGGTGTTGCTGGTTCCCGTTTAACACCAACCCTAAGGCTCTTCATGATTTTTGGGCCCTCAAAACGGGTTGTTTGCAAGGGCCCCTGAGAAATTGGTCCGGGTTCTTCATCAGACGGCCCCCATGAGGGGCCTGCATTGAAGAGATCATGAGCCGTGGGTAGTGGAGCCCCCTTGTTTCCCACGGCTGGGATTCTGGGTAGTGGAGCTACAAGAGTGGTGTTCCTGTAGGTTCCCGTTTAACACCAAACTGCCTTGGGAAAGCTGAAGTAAACTTAGCGCATGGCAGCACTGCGAGAGGTGCACTTGGAGCTCCTGCTGAGCTTTCCAGGCGATGGACTCGCAAGAGTTTAGGGGGATTCATTTGTATTGGGGTACCTGTTTTTGGGGTTGGGTTAAAGTTGTTTTTTTCTTTTTCTCGGGTACCTCTGTTTTGGGGATATTTTTTCGGGTACCTCTGTTTTGGGGTCAACGTTTCAAGGGAAAGCCCAAGCAACACGATGTGTTTGTTTGGCTTCTCTGGGGTGTGAGAGCCCGGGGGGGGGGTTTTCGGGTACCTCTCTTTGGGGGTTAACGTTTAAAGGGAACGCCCAAGGAACGCATTTGCATTTTCCGGGGCTTTGCCATGTTGACAGAAACCCGGAGCTTGCGGCTCCAGCCTTGGAGCTGTCCGAAGGCCATCCGAAAGAGCCCTTTTGTTTTGTGAAGTGATTTTGGCGGTTGCAGGGTTCAACCCTTACGGTAGAGAATTGCATAAGATGATTTTCCTGGGTTTTCTTGGGGGAGCACCCTGACCAGTTGTGGTGACATGTTTGGGTCTGCACTGGGCCTTTACATAGTGGTTTCCCAATACGAGAATCGGGGTTATGGAAATGGGGATTATGAATTATGAATGTGTTTTTTTTTTTTTTTTTTTTTTTTTTTTTATATATAAGGAAAATGGAAATCGGATTGGCCACCGTTTGTTGAAGAGCCCGACCGCTTTTGACCGCGTGATGGGTCGGATATCTCTTCTTTGGTTTCGTGGGAGCTGCGCACATTCCGAGAAATTTGGATGCCCTGAATGTTACGACCAGAACAACCTTCTAGCTTGCAGTGCTTTACCGGGCTTGTTGTTGGACGTCATTGGTTCCATAAACATGTTTTAGTTTAAATCCATCGTTATTGAATGGGTCTGCTCAGGGTTTACTTTCTCTTATGGGAGGATGGTGTTAGGGTTAGGGTTCAGGGTCCACATGCTGAGTGCACCCATTGGTTGTTATGAAGGTGTTGCTTTCTGGGCGTCTTTCTGAGATCCCTAAATGGAAAGCCGCAGCCACCTGAAACTTGAAACCATTGAGAAAGGGCTTCTCAGTTACTGGCATCTTCCAAGGTCTGTCATGGGAAATGGTTGTTTGAGAAGCTTACATTTGTACGGGGTTGTTTCAGGTTAAAGGCAATTCCCAAATCAGGAGCCAGCACTTTGCGAAACCTTTTCAGCCAAAAGTTGCGGAGCCCGCATTGGCCCGAAGGGGCCGTGTATCCGTAAACTAATCGGTACTGTACCGGATTGGAGAGATTCAAGGGGCAGGACTTCAAAGGCCACTTTTTGGGCCAGTTCTTGGTTATTGTTTATGTGATACCTTTGATTGCTTTCGCAGTATGTCCTACATCTTGTGGAACTTGATATTGCATTTCTCAGACTGGCACATTTCTCAGATGACATGTGCCAGTGTATGACTCCAAGTCCCCTTTCAGCAAGCCTTGACACCCTTGCCATGCGGCTCCCCATCACCCTCGTGTTGAAGCATCCGTGCACTTGGTGTGAATCAGAAGCTTCTTTCCACCTCTTGCAACATCTAAAGTGGAACAACTCATTCTTGGCTTTCTCCTGGATCCTTTTGCCGAAAGGGCATTGAACTGGCTGGCAGCGTTGCTGAAATCCAAAGTGTTGTCAGGGACTTCCGCCAGGTGTGTTTTGGGGGTTTGACCTGGTTTTTGTGGGGGGTAACCCCATCCAGAAGAGCACCAAACCACCGATTCGGCTCCAAACCACCAAGAGGGAAGCTGATAGGAGCGGGATTCTTCCGCAAACAGTTTGCTGTAGGGGTATGTAGGGGTTCTTGATTAGTTTAAGATAGACGGGTTCGTTTGGACGGGTTCATTCCGCTTTGTCTCCCCTCTCACCTTGCTTGTTCTCCCCTTGCTTGTTTTTGTCTTGCCCGGGTGGATTTTGCTTGGGCCCCGTCTTTCGTTCTCTCCGGAGCTTTGGGAGAGGCGGCAGCTGGAGCTCCCTGACGGCGCAGCAGCTCGCAGACTTGGAGCGGCTGCTGCTCAGCGAGCTGCACGCAGGCCGAATGCCTCGCTCGGTCCCAGGGCGCTCGGTCCCGGGCGCTTGAGGTGCTGTCTCTTTAAGCGCCATCAAAGACGTGTGACGTGTTTCCAACCATCCGGTTTTTCAGGTACTATGATTCAGGTCCTCAGGTTTTTCAGCGTTTCGTGGCTGCGGTTCCATCCAAAATTTAAACTCCATGTCTTTTTAGTTGGTTTAGTGATTGGGTTTCTGAATTTAGCCCACACGTTATAAACCTTTAGCGGGGGATCGGAAAGCGGACAGCCCGGGTGTTACGAGGGCACAGCATCTTGGAAGATAGGGTTGGTTATGGTTTCTACTTTTCTGATCAGGGTACGGGCGTTCAAATCTTGGGGAACCAGTCAACTAGTTGGTTGCTTACTTGGCTAGCTAGCTGGCCAGCTTACTCCCTCGGGAGTCTGACGTCAGTCGGGGCTTCTATTGGGTTTTTGTTCATGAATAAACCGCTGGCTATTTCAGGCCGTTGCAGGCTGAACAGTGGATGGCTTGCCAGACTCAAGCAGTTGATGGTTGACAAACCAAACAACTATTAGAGGGTTTTAAGTGGACTCATTCATGGTCTTTCAATCACGTTGGCCCATTTTGGTGGTTGAACCAAAAAGTTTCAACACATCGGAACCATGCGTTGTGCTTTACCACGCAAACAGTAGCACGCAACATGCGACACCCCCACTTTCTTTGTGCAAAAAGGACTGAGGGCCCCCGCCTCGAGTCGCTGCTTTCTTTTCCTTTTGGTGGACCCACCAGAAATGAGCGCAAGGTTAACATGAACTAGCTATCCCCACCCCCTCAAAAATGGAATTGGGGGAGGGGGGTGACCCCTGGAATTCCAGTAGGTAGGGGGGATAACTAGCTAAAGTGAACCTGAACCCGGAAATGGTTCGTCCCTGTTTTTTTCCACCAGCACTGCGTGTCGTGCAGGCGGGCATCGCATGGTGCGGAGTGTGCGAGTTGTGCAGAAGTGAACCGAGGGGAAAAGAAGAGCGCGAGATGGGCGCGATGGGTTGGCGGGAGCTTGCTTTGATTTTGTCTCCAGGAATTCCCAAGATGCTTCCGAATGGGATGTATTGGGGGAACATGGGCTGCCATTGACGGTGTGCATTGTGAGCTTCCTTGTACTGTGGGTTCGGTGCATTTCTCCTGAAGCATTTGCAGTGGACATATGGTAGCATACATATGTATATATGTATGCTAACAATCACCATGGGCGGAGAAGAAGTAGCACTTTGGTGAAGGAACCTCATGTCAACATCGCTGGATACTACTTTTCATCGTCGGATGATCGATGCGCATGACATAATTATTTTACCCGTTGTCGCGTCAGGAAGGAAAACCAAAAGGACAGCCACCGTTTTGGGGGGGTCCCCCAACAACAGACGTACTGTATCAATACCGTTTGTGCGTTCACCCTCCAACAGTACCTGTTGCTTTGTCTGTTCCATCCGTTGGCCGGGGATTTGTCAATCGGGCAGCAACTTGAGCATCCAGCAAATCGACCAATTCACCGATTGTCCAGTCAATGCACTTATAATTACCAATGAGAGCGAACTTTTTAGCCAGCGGGTCAGGCTATCAGGCTGTGAGACAGATAGATAGACAAACCGACAGACAGGCAGACTGACAGACAGACGGTATGTCAGTCACATGAGCGGCGGTTTTTTTGGCCGCAAGCTAATGTAGTATAGAGAGGGACAATATTATTGAAAATGTGCACCGCGCCACACGCGCGGAAGCATGCGGAAGGCTTCGCGGAACGAGTTTCTTCGCGGCAGGTTTGCGGAAGGTTCGCGGAAGCTCCGCGGAAGGGTGGCCCCGTCTTTGCAGGCAAGTGTCCACGTAGCATGGGTAGCCCAATGGAGCCCAAGCCTACACAGGCTGCGTCGAAACACTACCTTACTTAAAATGACTTTCCTTTCTGCACTAATACTCGCGGAAACAAGTCTTGCAAACCATGCGCCACGGAAGGTTTGCGGAAGCAAACAATGAAACACATGTGCCGCGGAAGTTCGCTGAAGGTACCTCTTGGCCTGCGGCAAGGATGCGGAAGGGTCCGCGGAAGCTTGAATAACCAAGCAAGTTTGTAGAGATTAAAAGCCCACGCTCACATGAAAAGACAAGCGTCAGATATTTCGCCTGGCTGAAATGGATTCTTGATTTCGGACTGAATATTCCGTAACCCTCCGAATCAAGGTTCATGAAAGTGGTCGGGGTTTTTGGAAGACTCGATGGCGCAGGCGGCCGGGCACCAGACGGCCCAGGCGCCGGCACCGGCGCCGCCAGAGGCCAGACGAGTGGAAGCCGTTTTTTGGATGGGTACTTGGCTTGGTGGCTCCCGAAGGCCATCCGGTTCCTTAGCCTTTTAGATTTCTGTTAATGAGCCAAACTTGTTTGTTTCTTTTAATCCACGGATTTGTTTTTTGTGATTTGGGTGAAGTTCAGTCACAGGGTTCCCGAACGGCAGTTACCTCAGTTCTGCAAAGAGAAGCGACCGGTTTGACCTTTCGGTGTCTCCTTTTCTGGGTGGCTCCCAGCCATCCCCTTAGCTTTTTAGCCTTTGAGTGTTTAGTGGTAGTTTCCATTCAACCCACTAAAAGTTAGTCACTTTTAGCGGGGGATCTGAGGGCAGCCAAGTTTGGTGTTCGATTCGCCGGGTTAGTAAGTTGGTGGTAACCTAGGCGATAGCCCACTTACAAATCCCCCGTTCAGTGGGGTCAACCTTGCCGAACATCCAAGTAGGTTCACGTTTGACGCCTCTGACTTTATTAAAAAGTCATGTTTCATGGCCATGCGGCATGCTTTGTTTGTGTTTCTTGGTGTCGCTATCTTGCGATACTAAACCGAGAACCGAATCGCGATGAGAGAAGCCATCGCGTTGGACCTCTTTTGGCTGGTCCCCTAAGAAAGAGAAGCACCCTCATATGGCCGGCGTTTCCTGTTTTTGAGGGTACAACTCACCAAGGCTTTTTTTGGGGGTGTGACCAAAAGTTGCGACCTCACGGGAGCCGTATTTTTAGGTCGAGTCTCATGAGGCGCCCCCTCTCCCGCCAGAAAGAAGACAAGAAGAGCGTCGGTTTTCCCCCCTTGAATTCCCTTCACACACACACCCCTCAGAAAGAGTCTCCTCAAAAACAGACACAGCTATATACTACTTAAAGGGTTTCTCCCCTTCAATTCCCTTTCAACCCAACCCCATGAATGAGAATCACAACAAGGACACAGCCATATCATATACTAGGTCCCCCAGTAGTGCCTTTTTTTTAACTTTTTTCGGGGCAGGGTTCCCCTACTAAAATAGACTACAGAAAAAAGGCTGGTACCAACTTATTCTAACCTCTCAAATCTGGAGGACCTAGTATACCACCTAAAGGCTGGTCTCCTTGCTTACCTCAACGAAATGGAGCCACTGGGCCACTCTTTGGGTGGTGGCACGAGGCGCGCCTTGAGGCCTTGAGCGCGGCGGCTTCGGGGTGTTGCCGCCGGAAGTTGGCAAGTTGACGCCCAAATGGACAGGGCGGTGGGTGAAAAATAGGGTAACCCCAAAATGGCTTGCCCGGGCGAATAGAACCAAGAACTAAAACCGCTGTTTTTTGTTCTGGTGGTTTAATCTTGACCCATACCCACATGGAACCTGACTTGCCGGTGCGATAGGCAGGGAATGAGACATGGAATGACCCTTATAAACCATCCAACTGGTGGTTTCCTCTAAGGGGACTCCTGCGTGCATTGCCACATTCTCTCTTGAGCACCCTCCAGAAGACCACCAAACCACAAATCCAAGCCGCCAATGAGAAGAAAGTTGAGTACCCAGAGTCTCTTTCTGACCCTTTAAAATTGGTTGGTCATTACCCTAAATAATGGGGTCATGGACCCATTTTTATTTCGGGTCATGGAGACTCCCAGGACCCACCTGAGCTGATCCTCGCTCGAGTGCCAGGGCAGGGACTGCCTTGTGCCTTCAGGGTCAGGCTCGCTCGATTTGTGGAGTGTCGGGGGGGGGATTTCGGAGCGTTGAAGCTGATGGTTTAGTGGACTACTTTTGGGTTGGATCTTTAGACTTTAGCTTTTGGGGAAATCAAGGAGTTGTCCACTGAACCCCTGAAGAAGCGAAACTTTTTGCAGGGGGGTCAACAGCAACCAAGTTTCGTGGAATCACACCGAACCGTTACGACCAACATGCTGCAGGGCTGGCAGTCAAATGCTCCCCAAATAGCCGCAATTTATAGCCCAATGGCGATCACCTAGTAAATTTGCGCCGGTTTGGGCGGGGCGGGAGGGGTGTGCTATCATTTTGTGAACCATCGAAACAAGGCCTCCAGTACCGAAGGTACTTTGATCCATACTCAAAAACCAAACTCAAAAGTCACTCTCTTGGCAAGGAACCAATTCTGGATGGGAGCTACCGCGTTCGAGGTCTTATCTAGCTGTTTCTTATTGTCGGAACCAAGTTCTTGACGACAAGCCGATAAGGAGACGTGACTCACCCAAAATCACGGGCGCAGCGCGTAGCTTCGATGCACCCACGTCACCGCCGGCGCTGAGAAGAGAAGAGGTTTTGGGCTCCCTACATGTCACGTTTTCTGTTTATGTGCGCTTTTGTATTTGTGTTTTCTTATTTCAGCATCAGGGTTTGACATTTGCGCGGAATAGAAGACCGGAAACAGCATCAGTCAAAGAGTAGATCGACAGATGCAATGTTGCACCGTTGAAACACAGTTTCACGGACCCCTAAGTTGGGGAGGGCGGCCTGTCCCTTAACCGCTTAGGTAAGGCCTTACTAAGTTCTTATCCTTGGCTTATCCTGGGCAGGTCTACCAGGCGTCCACAGTTTGGAGGCGAAGAGTCTTAATGTTGACCCCGGATTAATAAACGCCCTTTCATATGAGCCACAATGAAAACCGGGTAGATGAAGGTTAGTAAGGGACAATCCCAACCATAAATAGCTGCAGCCGCCTTCCTAATTCTTTACATGGTTCTGGGTATCGACCATTTCAATACCGGGTTTTGATTATGACCCATGTGAATATGGGCGTGTCCCTGGTTTCCCTGGTTTTCGTGGGGATTCAGGCCACTTTTGCAGGAACACCCCTCATATAAACCAGGAAGTGTATGAATTCGGGGCTTCACGGCCACATCCCGCGGAGGTGCGTATGCTGGCACACACGCATTTGGCCGCCATCTCAGTGTCTGGCGGGAGTCAGTCTCATGGGAGTTCTCGCTCTGGCTGACTTCGTTAGTTGTTGTTGTTGTTGTTGTTGTTGTTGTTGTTGTTGTTGTTGTTGTTGTTGTTGTTGTTGTTGTTGTTGTTGTTGTTGTTGTTGTTGTTCTTATTATTATTCTTATTATTATTAGTATTATTATTTTTATTTTTCTTCTTATTCTTCTTCTTCTTGTTATTGTTGTTGTTATTGTTATTGGTGTTGGTGTTGGTGTTGGTGTTGGTGTTGGTGTTGGTTTGTTGTTGTTGTTGTTGTTGTTGTTGTTGTTGTTGTTGTTGTTGTTGTTGTTGTTGTTGTTGTTGTTGTTGTTGTTGTTGTTGTTGTTGTTGTTGTTGTTGTTGTTGTTGTTGTTGTTGTTGTTGTTGTTGTTGTTGTTTGTTGTTGTTGTTGTTGTTGTTGTTGTTGTTGTTGTTGTTGTTGTTGTTGTTGTTGTTGTTGTTGTTGTTGTTGTTGTTGTTGTTGTTGTTGTTGTTGTTGTTGTTGTTGTTGTTGTTGTTGTTGTTGTTGTTGTTGTTGTTGTTGTTGTTGTTGTTGTTGTTGTTGTTGTTGTTGTTGTTGTTGTTGTTGTTGTTGTTGTTGTTGTTGTTGTTGTTGTTGTTGTTGTTGTTGTTGTTGTTGTTGTTGTTGTTGTTGTTGTTGTTGTTGTTGTTGTTGTTGTTGTTGTTGTTGTTGTTGTTGTTGTTGTTGTTGTTGTTGTTGTTGTTGTTGTTGTTGTTGTTGTTGTTGTTGTTGTTGTTGTTGTTGTTGTTGTTGTTGTTGTTGTTGTTTGTTGTTGTTGTTGTTGTTGTTGTTGTTGTTTGTTGTTGTTGTTGTTGTTGTTGTTGTTGTTGTTGTTGTTGTTGTTGTTGTTGTTGTTGTTGTTGTTGTTGTTGTTGTTGTTGTTGTTGTTGTTGTTGTTGTTGTTGTTGTTGTTGTTGTTGTTGTTGTTGTTGTTGTTGTTGTTGTTGTTGTTGTTGTTGTTGTTGTTGTTGTTGTTGTTGTTGTTGTTGTTGTTGTTGTTGTTGTTGTTGTTGTTGTTGTTGTTGTTGTTGTTGTTGTTGTTGTTGTTGTTGTTGTTGTTGTTGTTGTTGTTGTTGTTGTTGTTGTTGTTGTTGTTGTTGTTGTTGTTGTTGTTGTTGTTGTTGTTGTTGTTGTTGTTGTTGTTGTTGTTGTTGTCCTTTTGGGGTTCTTTGATTTGTTTGTTCTATCTCTCTCTTTGAGCTGGACCAGTTTCGTGACGAGTAACAGGTTTGGTTTCTTTTGGTTTGCCAACTCCGAGGGGGCATGGTTAACAGCATATAGAAAGGGAGTTGTTTGAGGGCCAAGCGGCGATCGACCTGGATGTCAAAAATATGATTGCTGCTACGTCGATATGATTGCCAGGTTTATGATGTGAGGCCACACTAGAACAGAGAAGCTGCTGGCAGGTCTCGTCCGCCTTGTCCTGTTGCCCTCTGAACTTGGGACTTGTATGATGATATCGTTGTTCATTTGATACCACCAACTTTGTTTCGGGGATGTACACGCTTTCAGGACGACTCTCAGTATTCCATGGATGCAGGTGAGGTACAGTTGGGCCAAGCTGAGCCACATATATCATCCACGTTGCAGGACAGGCAGGCAACAGGAGAACCCAATTTTGGATTCTTATCGTCCCCTCCGGATGACTCAGAGGTGATAGTGGTGAATTGATTCACACAAATTACAAGGAGGCTTTCCTCCAACCAAAGTATGGACTGGACCCTCAAACTTTAAGAATGGGAAACCACCCCAAAATGATGGGGCCACAACCCACTTTTATGGGTATTTTGAGGCTCCAGGGCCCTCTTTTGATTGAACAGACTTGCAACCGATTCCCAGAGAGGGACAGCACGGCCCAGTAACACGCCATGCATTGGCATGGGCGGTTTTGCATTAAGGGAACATCTCCTAGTGGGACCCCTAAAATGGCCATGGGTTCGATTCGCCAATTCGTTAAGCTGCCACAGCCAGAGGATGCAACTTGGCACCTGAACACGGCGTTTTGGGGGTAAAAAGGGGTCTACAACTACCTCCTTAGAACCCTCTAGGGCGACAAAGGAAACGTCCATTTGCTGGAATGTTAAAAAAAGGGCTGTTGGTTTTAGAGTTAATCCAGCATTATTCCCTCAGGCTCCAATGCAGACCCCCGGACCCTCCAATGGAGAACCCGGACCAATTCCTCATGGGCCCTCAAAAACACAAGTTTTTAGGCCCCGAAATCAATGAATCGGGACGCTCAGGGCTGTTGGGATGGGGGTATTCCCCTGCAAAAGTGGTCTGAATCCCCACTCGGGACCACCTCCTGGCTGGACATATTGTGGATGGACGGAATCCTGCACAACCTAAGAAACCCTTTATGATTCCCCCGTAAATACCAACACACGTTATGGTTTCCACCATGGTTTCAAAGTGGTGCAGGATTTCGTCCCAGGTCTGTTTGCCCTTTTTTTTGGGGGGGGGGGGCTTGCAACATGTACTGACAAGGCCCTCCTTGAGCGGCCCCGTTTTGAGTGTGTTTGGTTCGGGTGCTAAGAGCGGCCTCCATCCGCACTAATGTTGACCCAGGATTAATACACCCGTCCCATCATAAGGGGGGTGTTCCCTCCAAAAGTGGTCTGAATCCCCACTAAAAGAGGACACCCCGATGAAAATCAACCAGGGGTGCTGCTTAATCCGGGGTTAACATCAATCTCCCCGGGCGAAGATCGGAAAAGGCTCTGGAGCAGCACCTGCTGCAAGTGCTGCAGCCAGATCTTTTCCTGCAACTCGACAAGTCAAACAACTTGGCAATCCGAATGGCCCCACGGGGGGGTGGGGCGGGGGGGGGAGGGGTTTTATGGGGAGTGGCATACATCACCTCCATACCCCCAAAACCCATACCTGAAACCGGCCTTGAAATGATAAAGTGTTCAACAAATGCAATCCGAATGGCAGTTCTTTGTTTGGGGGGGTGGGGGGGTCTCAAACTGGTGGGCTGGTTTGAAAGGGAACGGGGACAAAAAGTTGCAATCCGAATGGCGATGTTGGTTTTGAGTGACAGCAAGAATGTTCCTTCCGCACTTGCCTTGATTGGGTGTGGGTGTACTCAAAGCAATCGGTGCATCCATCCAATCCCTATCCCCTGAAAACGACGAAATACGGCTCCATTAGGATATGTTCACTGTTGCTGGCAACTTGTTTAGGTGTTTGTTTCTGTTGTTCTGTTCATTTTTAGTCGGGGGCTGCAAAAGCACAGTTTTTTAGCGGTTACCATACCAAGGGTTGTAAAGCTAGGTTGCATGAAGCATATGCAGCCATATGCATTGCATGCGCGTGATCATTTGGTCATGGACAGTTTGTAAGGTTCATGTCAAAAACCCTGATTCAAGATGTGATTATGTAGCTGGGTGAATTACTCACACGACCTTACCCCAAATAGTGGTTTATGTGGGGAATAGCCCCCCAACCACCTTATTTCAGGTTTCATGGAATCTTCTTGAGGGTCCATGAAGGTTGGTGAAAGATTATAGTTCACCCAGATGTAGGAAGCCTTTCATGGTTGACACAACGCCATGCGACGCACCTGAGAGGCGCCGACTCATCTACGTAGATGACATATGATGTAGGTACACTCCCTGGTTAGCTTGCAGCCCCACAGAAGGGGCGCCCCAAGACAGAGGTTCCGCTGCCAGCAACCGTTTCCCAACCACTGTTTATTGGACGGTTCTTTGCTGGGGGACCTAGGTTTGATTGTTGCTTGCCATGCGCTGAGCGACGCTGAGAACATGTGACATGCACCACTTCACGTTTGCGGAGTTCAACTTGATTCTCCCGTCAGATGGTTTGTGGTGCTACAGGTCTAGGGACACTTCCTTTCCATTCTTTCCAGGGATCCGTTTTTTGAACAGAACGATGGTTGAAAAGAATGGGGAATCAACCCCTCGAACAGGGTTGTCTACGTTTCTACAAAGACCAGAGCCAACAGAAACTGGAGGTTTCTTCACGGGCGGCGAACAAGAGTTCGTTCCCTTAGGGAAGGAGAGAATGAGCCAGTTCATCAGATTCCTCAGCTGGTCGGTTCATTCCCGAATTCAGCTAATGGTTTACTATAATCATGACTAATTATGGCTTTGAAGTACCCCTTGAACCCCAAACACAACCGGAGGTGTCCCTTCTTCCTCTTTCAGGGGTTCCCCTTCAAGAACTAGCCAAGCCAACCATACATCACAAGAAGGGCGCCCGTTTTGTCCGTTGGGACCGGGAGTTTGGCACCGCGACACCGAACACACGCTCGCGGGCGCTTTCTTCGGATGAACCGAGGTACGGGCCAAAGACGCCCGAGGATACCCCGGAGGGCCCCGAGATATACAGCCTGAAGGACGCGCCGGGGTGTGACGGAAGTCCGGGCAGGTGTGGCCAAATCCGTTTGGTCTAGTTGGTTGGTTCGTTTCCAGGCGGGGTGTTTGGCGAAAGTTCAAAGTGTGCAGCTTCGGGATCAGAATGCAAGCCGCCCTTCATTTGATCAGGCCGCCCAGTTGGCAGCCGATGGGTCAGTGATTCCAAGCGCCACTTTGGCAACGGCCTTTGGGCTACCTGGGGCGCAATGAAAAAAACACGCTCGCCGTATCGATGCGCCTTGGGTGGCAAGCGATGAAGATGAACTTTGCTGGAACAGCGGCACCCTCCAATGACATGGCCCCCCCTGCGGCCTTTCTTGCGGGCCTTCAGTGATTCAGGGGATTCTGCGGTATGCCACAGTCGGTGGACCTGGCGTGACGTTGCAGGCATTTTCCAGTGGAACCGAACTGGTCTTGGTTTACGCTTCAATCCTTTCAACCACGTCCAAGGCCATAAACCGCCTGGAAGCTACTTCCCAGGTCTAAGCTCAGCTGGTCAAACTGTATCAATTACAGCCAAATGACTTCCGCTTTTCCCGCTGGCTTCCGTGTTTTTTTTTCGGGAAGGGTCGCACTCGGCCGTAACGCCATGTTGCGTCACGCGCTGGCAACGCTATCATTCGTTTTGCTCGTGGTTGCCGACCTGAACCAGCACCACTGGCATCCACCTTTTTGCTTCACCGAAGCAGTCCCAGCCAGAAATAGTTGCTGCCGCCTTCTTAATTCCTTACATGGTTCTGGGTAGACCATTTTAATACTGGGGTTCGATTTTGACTCAGTTCGTCCATCTGCGGCCACGCCATCCCCTACCCAGTTTCTATTACGACATCCAACTCGCACGGCCGATCACAAACCCGTGCCTCTACCTTGTGGCGGTTAACCTGATCTCTGGTGATTGCGTTTCGAAGCTTCATCTTCTGGGGGTTGCACTTTGCCCAGCGAGGAGCGCGTGGAATGAACACGTGCACACGTGAGCAGCAGACGTGTGAAGCTGCGCCGTACCCGGAGATCTAAAGGGGAACCGATGGGGAGCTGTGGATTGCTCCAGTTAGAAGTCATAAGATACTTATAGCTAGTGGAATTCCAACTACTTGTCTGGCATCGGATTTAGGGTCCACTTTTTCACGGTTTACTTTTTTTTTTCTTTCTCGCGCTTCATCCTAGCCTACTCAACGAGCTGCAGGACTATGTGGTGGAGGCCCGCTGGGAGGCACGGCGGATTTTGGGAATGGAGCGTTTGCGGCGTGTGGGTCTGTCTTTGCTTGGAGTTGGTAACCCTTTTGTGTCGTAGTTGTAAAAAGAAGCCAAAAGGAAACCAGACATTTTGGGGGTGCCCCACAATGTACACACACACAGCCCAAAAAGACGCACTGAACACCCTTTCCATATTGGCGGAATGAAATGGTAAATCGCTTTTTTGCTCTGCCCAACTAGAGGCAAAACTACGATAGACATCCCCATCCCCATGCGATTCTGCTTTTCCAATCCCAAGCCCGTTTTTTGGGTTTCTGGGTCCAAAAAGCAGGTGGGGGGAGACAAAAACTTTATTGCCACTCCACTGCCTGCCCCGCAATGATGTGCATCCTTCAATATTTGGGGTCGCTCCAGTTCAAAGCGTTTTTCCTAGTTCAGAACCCTGTGACGTTTCGGGGTTCGCTTTCATAGACAGTGGTTGGAAAATATGTATCCCGGCAACCACAAAACAGAATACCAGATCAGAGCTCCGAGTTCAATCGAGAAGACAGGTGCCCCGAGCGCATGTGTGCAATGCGTGTGCGCCAATGCGCTAGCGGTCCAAGTTGTGATTATTAGTTTTTGCGGAGCTCAGCGGTTGCCACCGGCTTGCTCGGCCTCTTCTTTTGTGCATCTTGCTCAGCGTTCGCTGTATGCTATTTGAATAAGGCTGGTGGCTTTATCGGAAGAACCCTTTGCAACACTTTGGGGAACAAGTCGCTCCAGAGCGGCGAAACTGTACTTGGCGTACGGATCATTCGCACGGGACATTTGCGATGTTCAAGCCGGAGCTTTCAAAGTGTACGTCTCGCACCGCGTTCGGAGCTGCGCCGGCCGCGCTTCGCGTACTTCTTTCGAACGAATCTCGCCCAACAAGGGACTGGAGCCGCTCGCCGTCAACGCCGAACTCCTAGGTCCCCCAGCTAGGTGCCCTTTTACCATTTTTTGGGGGGAGGGTTCGTTCCCCTAGTAAAATGGACTACAGAAAGAAGGGTACCCTTATTCTAACCTCTCTACTGGAGGACCTAGACTCGAAAAGTATCATTTCACAACAGTTTTTAGGCATCAGCCACGCCGATCCGCGCGGAGACGGTCGCGCGGACAAAGAACAAGTAGTAAAAGTCCGCAGATGTTGAACCTCGACCGCAGAGGGTTGAGCTCGGATGCTAGAAAATAAAAGGAATAAGAGTTTGCACGTTTACCGCGCCAATCCCGCAGCGGGTCGACTTCCTGATTGACAAGTTGATGCAGCCCCCCTCCCCGTATTCAAAGGTAATTTATACTTATCGAACTTCACTTTCTGTCTTTCACACGCGAATTGCTTGTTCAGCCAAACACCGCAGGAAACCTCTCTCGTAACTTGCTCAAGCGATCGCTTGTGCAGGTCGCTTTGCAAAGCTCTCGCGTATCTTCCCGGCGTAACTTGCTCTGCAGCCTCTGATGCCCCTCGCTTGTGTAGGTTGCGCAGGTGAGCCACAATTAAGAAGGTTACGAAGGGTTCAATCCCAGCCATAAATAGCTGCGGCCGCCTTCTGAATTTCTTTACATGGTTCTGGGTTCACCATTTTAGTACCGGGTTTTTGATTGTGGCTCAAGTAATGTCTCATGTAACTTGGTAGTGCAACTTGAGTCGCGCAATCGGCGTGCCACTTGCACGTGCAGTGGAACTGCCTCGTGTGGTTTGCTCTAGCAATCTGTGATGCAACTTGCTTGTGCAACTTGCTCAATCAATCTCTCGTTCCTGAACGTGACTTGCGCTACCGGCGCCGTAGTTTTCCTGAAGATCCCTTCGCAATGCTTTCGACAAAAACACAGTCACACAAAGTGGGTACCCTACAAGAGCCCCTGATCCTTTTTAATCTTTGTGTTTTGGGGTCTGCTTTAATGGCATTTTTGGGGTGGGTGAGAATGAAATTCCAAATCAAAGCCTTAGCCTTTACCTTTGCAGGGTGTTTGTCTGAGTTGTGGAAGCTGAGATTGAGTCGTGCCAATACCATATCGAGAATGTCCAGTTCTGAATTAAGCACTGGGGTTCTGAGAAAAAGTCTTGGCACTACTGAATTTAGACTGGGCAATATTAAATTAAGTACTGGGAATCTGAGATCAAGTTCTGGCAATACTAGACCTTCGGTGCATTTTGCTTGGCTGTTACGACTTTAACTTTTTGCCAACTAATGGGTTTTCCACTAAACCACTTTTAGCAGGGGAGCAGATTTCGCAACCAAGAGATACTTGGTAATGCTAAGTGAAGTATCGTCAAGTCCAAGTCCAACGCAGAGGCTCCGGATGGCTGTTGGCACTGGGACGGGGGGGGGACTGGATGAACTTTCGGTGCAGAAATCCCAACCTGGAGTCTCCATGACACTTTAAAAATAGGTCCATGACCCCATTATTTAGGGTACTGACCCCATTTTTCAAGGGTCATGGAGACTCCAGGAACAAATGCCAGGTTGAGAACATCAGAGACCAGCTATACAACGAGACCTCCAACCCAGGCGGAATGGTGGGTCCGAAGGCGGAATTCTGGGGACTGATCCTGTTCGAATCGGGGCTAGGGAGATGTTGGGCGTGTTTGTGGGTCTTTTCTTATGTCAACCCGATTGATGAACCCCAGCTTACTAATAGGCTGATCCCCTGCAAAAGTGGTCTGATTTCCCCTCGAATCCCAGTGGGCCCCCATGAATAAACTGGGGTTGAGTCATCCAGGTGTCCCATGAAGTGTCTACACACTTTGGGGCGCCAGGAATTCAGCCACTCCTGCGACAACGGTAGATGGAAAACAACATCTTCCCTGCCGATGTTGATCGAGTCTCATCCGCTGGCGCATGGTTGTTGTTGGGAAGCATTTTACATTTTGCTTGTTGTGGTTTAGTGGGAAATCCCCACTTAACTGCTAAAAAATGATTTTTTGCTCCCCTTCCAGCGTCAACCAAGTGGGGAGCTGTCGCAGCCACCCTTTTTTCGACACTTTGCCAAGAAAATCTACAAGGGTACCCAACAGAAAGCCCCGTCGAAACTTGCTGCGATAGGCAGGGAATGAGACATGGAATGACCCTTATAAACGTCATCCAAGTGGTGGTGTCCTTTATTCGGGAATCCCAAAACGGTTCGTTTCCACGTTCCTTACCTATCGCAGCAAGACAATGTTGTGTTTTCACGAGCAGCTTCTCAGGTTTCTAAGGGCTGTGACAGCGGCCGGTCATCCATGCCAGGTTCGACCCCCAAGTGGTGAAACCGTGTGCCTCTCGGGCTGCTGCTTTCTTTCATGTGAGTCACGGTCCAAATATGCGGTATATCACTGTGGTAAAGCGGGGTTGGTTGCAGCAGAACAATTTGCAGAAAAATAACTCGTAAGACTTTAAAGGGCCCCCACCAAAAACGATAGCTACTTAACCTCCTCGGCGGCGACAAGTTATTTCCACGGGGGTAGCTCATGTGTTAAATTTGGGAGTGGCCTTTGATTCTTGCACCCCTGGCCAGAGACGACTACTCCTCCTCCTGCTACTACTACTACTACTACTATTACTACTACTACTACTGCTACTACTGCTACTACTACCACTATTAATACCACCACCACCACCACCGCCACCACCACCACTACTCCTTCCAAAGTTCGACAAATGTTTTTTTTTTTTTCCCTGCAAGGCTTTGCAACTACCTCGCTGCACGGGGGTTTATCACGAAGAAAACATGGGTAGGGCTCAAAATGAAAGAGCTGGGGTTACACGGGTTTTAGTCTTTGGTTCCATTTACCAAGGCGCCATTTTGGCACCACTTTTTTGAGCCACAGCCACATCAACAAAGCTGACCCAACGTGTTCGAACAAAAACGTCCGCGAGCTATTTGGCCAGTTCCATCCCCGCAGGTCAGGTCATCGACCTGGAGTACTTGCAGGCCAAGCTGCTTGACACGTTTGTTTAGCACAGACCAACACTTTGGTGCATTTTGCTTGGATGTTAGGACTTCAACTTTTTGCCAACTAGTGGGTTTTCCATTAAACCACTAAAAGTTAAACTTTTAGCAGGGGAGCAGAAAGCAACCGAGAACAAAAGTGACGTGGTTTTCCTTTGAACAGGCGTTTTACGGGTCCCCGATTTCAGGGCAGCCCCACACGTATTCTATTGTAGCTTTCTTCAAGAACTTGCAATCTAGCGTGTGGCTTTTCTGGAGTGTTTGAAACCATTGCACAGTCCAACAGCTCCGAGCCGCCTGTGGAGTTCAACGACCCGGAACGTCGGAGGGCTAAACATGGGAGTTTGGATCATTCTCCGGTTGACCAACCGTTCACCGGTTTCCACTTGGGTTTGGAATGGTTTGGACTTTCGTTGGGGGGGGGTTCTCTTGAACGAATCCGACCCCCGTCGCCCAATGCGCCAGGATCCTGAGGCAGCTTGGTTTGATAACTCCCCACAACCCCGTTCCGATATACTGTTTCGGCTTCACAGCGTTTTAGGTATTTGATTCTGTGGCCCCGCAGCTGGGGTCTGAGACTACTGTCAAAAAGCGGCACGGGGCGCTTTTTTCATCTTGGTTTCGCCGCCCCCTCCGCCCCCATACCCCCTGAGTTGGTCGTGGGTTGCAAAGCCTGGCGCCATTTCTGCAGCGAACCAAGGGACCCAGCCTTTAACAGGAACATGGCAACGGGTTCCCGTGCCTTGCCTGCGATCCATTGTCTGGGAAGTACAAAAGTTGCTTCCCTAAATTTAAACTAAAAAACAACCTCCAATGCAGACCCAGCGACCCTCCAATGGAGAACCCAAAGCGACCAATTCCTCAGGGGCCCGGAAAGAAAACAACCCATTTTGAAGGCCCAAAAATCAGCGGGAGTCTTAGGGTTGCTGACATCTTCGGAAACCTCAAATGGCTGTGGGTCAAAAATTGGTACCCAAAATGGAGCCCTGGTAAATGGAACCATGGACTAAAACCTGCGGTCCGATAATGTCCTGGTGGGTAAATTTTGACCGACGCCCACTTCAGGACATGATCCGAGTTGCGTTGTTTTATTGAAAGGGTGGTTGACCTCGTTGATGTCGCGTTGATTTTTTTTTTGCCTGAGCATTTTCTTTTCGATCTCTCCAGGTGCAAGGCAACTGGTTTGGCAGTCAGTGCCTGGACCCGCAGGGGGCCCAAGACAGCTGACGTTTCCGGGCGTTGGTTTTGGACTGTCCCTTGTAACGGGTGGACTTCGCGGTTCCCAGCCCTCCAGGTTCCTTAGGTTTTAGTTTTCTTGGGTTGGCGGTTTTCCATTTAACCCAGAAGTTGTCGACTTGAGCAGTAAAATCTAAAAAACGAACAGCCCAGTTGGGCTGTCACATTTTCTTCAAATACTGTAACTCAATGGAACAAACCATTTGAAAGCCGTTGGGGATCCTCGTAGGTTCTGGTACAAGCCAGTTTGTTCTGCTCAAGCATTGTGAAACTGTGGGCCGTCCTTGATACAATGTGCACGGCGTGTTCTCAAATGTTCGGCTATGCACGCATGTTGAGGATTTGTGCTGATTGGGCAGGTATGGGTCCGTGCAACATGCTTTGTTCAGCGATCAGTTCAATTGCAATTGCAAGACACAGCCAAACATGGGGTCGCGCGCTTGGACCCTCGCAGTTTCAATTGTTCCTCTTTTCAGGCAGTCTTTTGATTCAACATAGAACTCGGGGGAATAGCATTCCAACAGGGTTGGTTGCCAAAACTAGGGACCTCCTTAATGGAGCAGCTGCACAGACGAAGTGTTGGTATGTTGTCGTTTTGCTTGGTGGGTTGGTGGGTGGGTGAGTGGGTGGGTTGGTGGGTGGGTGGGCGGGTGGGTGGGGCGGTGGGTGGGTGGGTCATTGGGTGGGTGGTTTTTGTTCTTCTGGTCACAGTGTTTGTTGTCGATTGGTGCATGTATTGTGTCTAGTTCTTTTGTTTGGTTACTTGTGAGAGTTTTTTTTTTTTTTTGTTTTTTTTTTTTTTGTTTGTTTGTTTGTTTGTTTGTTTTGGTTTGTTTGGTTGTTTGTGTGTTTGTTTGTTGTTTGTTTGTTTGTTTGTTTGTTTGTTTGTTTGTTTGTATGTTTGTTTGTTTGTTTGTTTGTTTGTTTGTTTGTTTGTTTGTTTGTTTGTTTGTTTGTGTGTTTGTTTGTTTGTTTGTTTGTTTGTTTGTTGGTTTGTTGGTTTGTTGGTTTGTTTGTTTGGTTTGGTTTGGTTTGTTTGTTGGTTGGTTTGGTTTGGTTTGGTTTGGTTTCGTTTGGTTTGGTTTTGTTTGTTTGTTTGTTTGTTTGTTTATTTTATTTGTTTGTTGTTTGATTGCTTGTGTGCTTTGTTTGTTTGTTTGCTTGCTTTCTGGCAGGATGGCTGGTTTGTTTGCGTTTTTTTTTTTTTTGTGTGTGTGTGTGTTTGTGTGTTTGCTTGTTGTGATTTGCATCCTTTGCGTGGTGCGTGTTTTTTGGTTGTCAGTCTGTTTGCTTGCTTGCTTGCCTGCTTGCTTGCTTGCTTGCTTGCTTGCTTGCTTGCTTGCTTGCTTGCTTGCTTGCTTGTGTTTTGTTTGCTTGTCTCTTCATCGTTTCACTGGTCTTGTGTGTGATTGTTTTTTTATCCTTTTTGTTGTTGCAGTCGTCGTCATCGTTGTCAATATCGTTGTTTGTGGTGATGGTGTTGTTCTTGTTTGTTGTTGGTGTTATCTATTTTGCCGGGTTTTGGTTTCTATTATAGGTTATTCAATTCTGCTGTGGTGTGTTGTTGTTCGTCCACGCGTAGTGTTTTTTGTGCGTTCTGTGTTGTTTGTGTTGTGTCGCTTGCTCTTGTTGGCTGTTGCTTTTTATTGTTTTTTTTGAGCTGCTTGCTGGATGTTGGTTGTTCGTAGGTGGTTGTGGTTGTGGTGGTGGGTGGGTTGGGTTGGGGTGCGGTGGGGGGTGTGGGTGGGTGTGGGTGGGTGTGGGGTGTGGGTGGTGGGTGGGTTGGGTTGGGGTGCGGTGGGGGGTGTGGGTGGGTGTGGGTGGGTGTGGGGTGTGGGTGGTGGGTGTTGGGTGGGGGTGCGGTGGGTGGGTGTGGGTGGGTGTGGGTGGGTGTGGGGTGTGGGTGGTGGGTGTTGGGTTGGGGTGCGGTGGGGGGTGTGGGTGGGTGTGGGTGGGTGTGGGTGGGTGTGGGTGGGTGTGGGGGGTGGGTGGTGGGTGTTGGGTTGGGGTGCGGTGGGGGGTGTGGGTGGGTGTGGGTGGGTGTGGGTGGGTGTGGGTGGGTGTGGGGTGTGGGTGGTGGGTGTTGGGTTGGGGTGCGGTGGGGTGTGTGGCTGGGTGGGTGAACAGTTGGGCAGGTGAAGGTGTTCAGAGCATCTTCGGTGCTCGTTCAAGCGGGGTCCTTGCCTTCCTTCGCGGCCGTTACCTCATTGACGTTTGTGAAACTCGAGGCCTTTGCGGGACAACCGTCCTGGCAGTGCGGTGCTTAAGCGGGAGCGGGCGCCGACGCAGGTCGGTCGAGGACGTTTGACAACATGTAAGGTGTTGACCCCATGTTGGCCCCATAATTATTCATCAACCAACCAGTTTATGAATAAGGAGTGTCCCTGGGCTTAGAGGGGGAATCAGAGCACTTTTGGAACCGGGGGTGGGGACCCCTCCAAAAGTGGTCTGATTCACCCCCTAAACCCAATGAATAAGCTGGGGTCATATGGGGTCAACATGCTGGGTCAAAGCTAAACCACTGTCCTAGCTTCCATTCACCAGGGCAAGCAATTGTTGGGTACCTCTTTCCGACCCACACCGATGTCGAGAGTAATTACCCTGTACTTTGTTTGGGAACTATACCAGTTCGTGTTGAAACCAGTTCTTTTGATTCCCAGTTCCTTCACCCGGACTACTTGAACTGAGTTTTGAATCAGGTGGTTTCTGTGGACTGAAGAAGGGCGTGTCCCCTGTGTTGCAACATATTGTTGCTCAAGACAAGTGATGCATGGTACGGCATAGAAATTCGATCCGAACATGGCAGCTTGCAACTACGATCCAAGGCTTCCCTACACCAAGGCCTTTATAAACGCCTTCTGGGGTGGTAGTCTGGGAAACAGGGGGGTCTGGCCGTTGGGGGGGGGGAAATGATCGGGTAGGAGCTGCATCCTGGATCACGCACTCGCCCTGCAGGAATCACATCCTGTCATTAAGCATTCCCAAGCATGTCACTTTGATAAATATGCATCCGGTTTCTTGGTACACAGGGTTATCTTACAAACCTGGGGCTGTTATCCATGTGACTGCCATGTGCTTGGTACAGGGGACAGTCTGGAGAGATGGGTGCTGAGTGCCCCGTTCTTTGGTGGTACCGCGGCTGGGGTCAAAGGGCTCGAAGTGGTTCAGCGGTTTTGTCGAAAGATGCGCTCCTGCAAAGGAGCGGGCCCTGATTACCCCCTACTCTTTGGGGTGGCCGGGGTGGGGATTGCTCCTTCCAGGAGACCCCTGTGAATACGCGGTGGGGCGGCAGGGGGGGTTGTTAACCGGGACCCAAATTTAGTGTATTCAGCTGGAATGGCAAGCGCTCGGGGCAATTTGAACCTCGGAGCCTGCGTCCTTGGTCGCCAAAAAGCAAGCCCCCGAGTTTGGCACCAAGGCACGTGCCCAAATTCCGTGAATTCCTTGGGTGCGTTTAGGTTTAGGCCGAGCATGCCCGCACAATGCCTGAAGTGAGGTGCGATTTGCTCCTACTACAGCCAACAGAAGTGCGCGGACACTTGGTTTAGAAAGAGACGGCGAGAGCTCGCATATGTACGCGTGCATACAGGTACGTAGGTAGATATGCATATTAGAACAGATCGCATGGCTCAGTACTTTCTTCATGGTTGTAGTATGCCTAGCCGTTCAGTCCCTACCAAAGTACGATTGAAAGGCGTACCTGAACCCAAGGTCTTTACATCCACCAATTTGTCCGGTTGGTCCCCCATCCAGTGCCCGTCCAGATTACTCGAATGCATCCAGCACTCCTTATCACTGCTTGTTGGGTACCGTACCAAGGGCATGTTGGACGACATTGGAAAACACAGTTGTTGGGACCCCTGCTGGATTTGGGTGCGTCCTTTTTTGGAGGGTACCCCTTTTTAGTTCGTTTTGACAAAAACAAATGGACACCCTCCAAGTTTTGCTGGCTCCGCCTTCCATTTGCGGAAAGGAATATGGTTTATGTTCTTTTCTTGGCTTTGAATTACTACTGGACATGTATATATATATAATAATAAATAAATAAATATATATATATATATATACATCTTCTGTTTTGTTCCTGGGGGCTTCAGCAAATAGAAGCAGATCTTCACGGCACTTGATTTCCCGGGTCCCGTCTCTCGACACGTCCAAAAGGCCCGGGGACCTCGAGGATACAAATGGGGACTGGATCAGCTTCATGCGTATACACATGTGCATATGATGTGCACATGTATCATATGCACATGTGCATACGCATAAATATGTAAGATATATATATATATGCATGTATAGGGGTATGTTTTTTGGGAGGGGGGGGCGGGGGCGTCTTTTGGTTGAACTTAAAAGGGTAACCAACATAAGCTCCACCATGTTTGTTGAGGGCTTCCCTATTCAGAGACAACTCCAAATGGCTTCCCCCATGCCTTTTGCAGAAGATTGGCCTTTCGTTCAGGCCCTGGAGCAATCGTATGGAACCAACCGCAATTGGACACTGCTCATCTAGGTCCCCTAGCTAGATGCCCTTTTACCGTTTCTTTTTTGGTTGGGAGGTTTCCCCTACCAAAATAGACAAAGCAGAAAACAATTGGTACCCTTATTCCAACCTCTCTACTGGAGGACCCAGCTCATTTGGATCTTTTCAGGCGCGTTTTTTTCTTTGTCCTTTCGGTTACTGAAGCCTCCAGGGCACGCTCGTTGGATCGAAGGCTTTTTCCGGAATCGCACCGCCCTCGCAACTCGGCCCACAAGATGCCATTTGGTCGGCTTAGAAAGGTCACAGCAACCGTTCCGAGAATGACTTTTTGAGATGGTGAACACCCTTTTAGCTGGCCTTTTAACTTTGTTGTCCCTTTCATTCACGAAGTTTTTATCAACTTGTCTTCTCGTTGGTTCATTGATAATTTGATCTTTGTTATTGTGTCATACATGTATCTTCCAATTGAGCAGCAAACTGGGCAGTTCAAAGGAAATCCGCCATCCTGTCTGTGGAATACGGTTCGTGGTTGCCAATGTGTAGCGGTCATGGATCACGATTGACACGGCCTCTCTTTTGAGCGGTGTTTTTCTTTTTTAAGGGACGCCCCACCCCCATGTTTTTTTTTTTTTTAAACAATATCATGTTTTTTGGGGTTGCCCGTACCAAAGAATGGGCACCGGACAAAAAAAAAGACGAGCCACTCCATTTGTCAGGAGGTAGGCAGCCAAGGTGAGGCATCAAGACCCGGGTTGTTGGAGTAAGGGACACGAATGGGTGCGGAACTCCACCTGGCGGGGTACTTCAAAACACAAAGAAAAACATAGGTGAGACACCTGGTGAGACATAGGTGTCCTTTTTGGCTGGTTTGCTTAAAAAGAATAGACGGCGATTCCTGGTTTAGATGGGGATCATTCCATTTAGCAGGGCAAATATGTTTTTCCAAAAGGCCACCTATGCATACAGACCAAACCAAACAAACAAACAAAGCAAAACAAGGCACAGCGAAAGAAGGCAAAGCAAACCTAGCACACAAGCTTCACTCTATCTTCATGTATGCCCCATGTCCCCCGTCCCCAGCTGTCCCCCCCATAAAATGATAATAATAATAATAATAAGGTGGCACCAGAAGGTGTTTATTGTTCATAAGCCGTTATGCAACCCTTAAGAAGCCCTTATTAAGCCCTTAAGAAGATATCATTATTGGTTTTCATGAAAGTCACAAATAGGAGTTTTTCAGGGCTTTTTGTTTTGTCCTAAAGGATGTTGCTCAGACAACTACAATCTTCTGGCGCATTAGCTATGCTGTCCCCCCCAAAAAAAACAAAGAAAGAAAGAAGGTGGCACCAGAAGTTTTTTTTTTCACTCCCTCCCCACAAATAATAAGGTGGCACCAGAAGGTGCCTTTTTTTTCAAAAAAACAAAACAACAAATATATTTATAACAAGGTGGCACCATCAGTTTTTTCTTGTTTCTTCTTTTTCAACCTCAGCCGTGCCGTGCCTTCCTTCAGCTCCGCCCTGGCTCGTTTTCCGGTTTTTCCTTCGGAGGTCTGGAGATGATCCAGGCTCAGGAGGCCCAGCGCGGCCAAGCGTGCGCCCGCGGCCCGCGTTTTTTCTCCCGGGTTTTGTGGGGGGGGTCTCAACGGGCGGATGCGGAGGCGGAGGCGGCGTCAGAATCGAAGAGCCCAGCGGAGTGTGGTTTTTTTCTCGGAAAAAATGGGGCGGTGCCCGAGGGCCATCCCGTTTTTGTTGGGGGGGCTTTGGGCAAATTTTGGGCGTTGAGTGGTAGTGTCCTTTTCACCCAAAGGTGGGTCGCTTTTAAGCGGGGGATCTGAGGGCCCAGTTGGGTGGTTTTCCTTTAAAGCAGGCTGACTCACTTCCTGAGTTTCGTGGACTTTACTTTGACTTTTTGGGTGGGACGAGTTGAGTGGTAAACAAAAAGTGTGCACCACTGGTTTTGGGCCATTTGCTCGATCGGAAGTGAGCTACAGTCTGACACCCATTTCACTGGGTGGTTTTGCAGCTATCCGGTTCCTTGGGTTGTGAGTTGTTTTTTTAGTTGGCTTTGTGGTAGACTCCACGCCATGGGTCAAACTTTCAGGGCATCCCGGAACAGCCCATGTGAGGGTACACGGTGGCGGGGATGGACATAGGTTCCTAAATGATGTCCAAAGGGTCCAAAGGAATTCAGCGAATTGGACACTAGCCCAGGTGCCCAGTGGTGCCCTTTGTTCCTTTGCTTTTGGCAAGGGCTCCGATTCCTTTGAAGTCAACCAACCAAAGGAGGATGTGATTCTTTGTTCCCTCTCGGCATCTGAGACTAGTAAGGGGAGACCCAGGTCAACAGCACCCATTTTCGTTCCTTCAACACGATTCGCGCACAGCCTAGTTTTACCAAAGTCACTCGGCCGATGCGAATGGCCAGCAAATTCGGCTTGCTGCAACAAGAGATATCCCATGCTGGAAAATGGGGCGGTTACTGACTTTGAGGATGGGAAATGAGAACGGGGCTAGTTTGTGTGAATCCATTTGTGACTAGAACATGTGATATTTCTGTTGATATGTTTCTTCAAGCTTCCAACTCGTCCTGTTGATTTGCGGGTTTTGTGGTTGCAAGTGATAGTCAGTCTCCATCCCTGACTAGCGGATTCCTGTCATTCCTTGGAACACACCCACACACTATGAGTCGAGTGGGTTGAACATCCACTCTCTGTCACCGACAAATCAGAGACACGCTTGACTGCTGTTTGTGACGTGGTTTGGCAAGTGATGAAGACAGTGCCAAAACTAGGCGCTCCTGTTTGTGAAGCCAAGCAGGTGGAAGGTACCTTTCGTCCTATTTCGTCCTAGTTTCGCCTTGTTACGGTTGATGCCCTAAATATTGCAAGTAGGGAACAAAGGAAACCCTGTAAATTCCCATGGTTTGTGGTTGACTTACTTGCAATATTTAGGGAATCCACCGTAGTTGCAGGCCCTCCCCAAACCTCGTCCGCGTGTTTCCCCAAAGCTTGATCGCACCAAGGCCTTAATGGAAGTACACCGGGATGCAAGGGGTGGGGGTTAGGGGGGTTGGGGGGGGGGGTTAGAGCTGCATCCAAAGGAGATGGCCAAGGACATGGCCACAGCTCACCTTTCAACTTGAAGTTAGGGAGGTGCCTTTTTTCAATCAGCCACCCTCCAACTATCCATTTCACAAAGAGGACCACCTGATTGTTTTGGGGGCAACCCATTTTTGCAGGCTACCCTCCCTCCAATCATGGAAGCTGACGGTCGGAGGCTTTGGAAGAGTAGTTTCCTAGGAAGCCCATCTCCCCTTCCATAATTAAAACGAGGGTACCTGGAGTCCATGACCCTTAAAATGGGGCCACTACCAACAAAAATAAGGGGTTATGACTCCTTGTTCTCGGGGTCTAGGAGACTTTAGGTAGTTGGTACCCTAAGGGTCCCGATGGATTTTGGAGCCCGTGAGGGCTCAGGGTCCATTTGGAGGGGTCATGACCCTTCGGGCACATATATATATATATAGAGATCTTATTCTAGGGAACCCCTTTTTGGTTGGGTTCAAGGGAATCCAAAAGTGCCATTTGGGGGGTTTATACTACCAGAAGTGCCACGGGTAGTTGTGAACCAAGTTTCACTTTGTCGCCGATATCCGCGTAGGTACCACTACGTGGTGGTCTCGCGCTTCGACTTCCGATGGCTCGCCGGAGCCTCGCTCGCGTTTCGGGCATTTGTTTTTCCCGTTTCGTGCATCCTGTGGGTTAAGCGGAAACCCGCGAAATGGGGCGGGGGGGGGGGGGGTTTAGAAATCTGCACTGACTCCCTGAATTCCTGGACTTGATCCTTCTTGGGTTTGGACCATTTTGGTGGCAAGTAACAAGTTGCGCTTTTCAGGAATTGGGTACAGCTGGATAGGGAATGGCGCTGGAGCGAGCACTGCCTCAACTCAGCTGTAGGAGACCGACCCGCTCTAGGGACACTGCGACGTGGCGGCCATGTTGCGCGTTACGGGGCTTTCACAGAAACTCTTGCGGAATCGAGCAGCTTACAATGTGCTGGTGCGCCGCTGGTGTCTACTCGCGTCCTGCTGGTGACGGCGCCTGAATTAGTTTCCACCTGTAAAACTTTACGCCGCACAGGCGCCAAACAAAGTCGCGTGTTTCTGGAGCGAGACTTTCTTTTGCCAACGGATCCCGACTCAGGTAGGTGACTTCCCCTTGAAGTGTGCAGTTCTATGCAGATGGCTTGGACCAGCGACCTGCCTGACTACAACAGTCTAAATGCATTTGCCATAGTTGTTTCTTTGGTTTGTTCAACTCTGGACAGGGGTTAATCATTATCTCGGAGACAATTGCTTTTCAGTTTTGGACATGGGTGCACATTGGAATGCGCTCATAATTATCAGAATGTGCAGTTACGGGCGTTTCGAGTTGTGGTGGAACATGAACTACTAAAAGGGTCGTGTAAGGAACAGACGCCTATTCCTTTTGCATGCCCACAATTTCCCGCAGAAGGGCTTCTGCCTTGTTTTCGTGCGGAAAGGGCCCCCAAATCCAGCTTGGCCCAAATCCAGGGCGCCTTTGAGGGTCCCCTTTGCTTGGTGCATATTTTGCTGGGTTCCATCAAAAGCAAACCCAATTCCAGTTTTGGCGGTCCAAATCTGTTTTTTTTTGCACTGTGGTCTTCGTTTTTACTGGGTTCCACCAAAAGGACCCCCAAGTCTGTCTTGGCGGTGCAAAACTGTTTTGCACTTTGTAAGGGTCCCCCTTTTCTCTTGGTTCCACCAAAACAGCCCAGATGGGTGCATTTTTTTTCTGGGAGCAAAAGGACACCCGCATCCATCCATGTAAGGGTCTCCCTGTTTACAGGGTGCCGCCAGCCAAAGGACCCCCAAGTCCAGTTTCGGGCTGTCTAAAGCTGGTCTTTGAGGGCCCTTGGGTGCATATATTCCCCCAAATGCAGTTTTGGTGGTCTAAAACTGATATCGGGGCACTTCTTAGGGTTCCCCATGTGCTTGCATATTTTTCTGGGTTCCACCAACAGCCAAACTGGTTTGCTTTTTAAACTGTCTCCCTTTGCTTGGGTTTATTTTATTGGTTGGCAGCCCCAAGCTGGTTCTGGGGCATTTCCCTTGGCCTGCAGTTCCAATGGGATTGGCCACCAAAGCTGGCTAGTGGGAAACATTAAGGGTCCATTTGCAAGGGCCCAATAGATGTTTCCTCGCGTAGCAGATATTGGCTTGCATGTGCGGTTTTCTGATTCAGACTAGATCCCCCAGCTAGGTGCCCTTTCACCGTTTCTTTTTTTGGGGAGGGTTCCCCTACTAAAATAGACGTCCTGAAAAAAGGCACGAGTACCAACTTATTGAAACTCCTCTCAAATCTGGAGGACCTAGCAGAGGTGATTCGTCCAACATGGCAGTTCCCGGTATAGATATGCTTCACTGTTCTTGGCATGTTTTTTGGTTTGGTTCTGTTCATTTTTGCTGGGGGTCTGCAAAAAACAGTCAGTTTTTTGCTACCATACCAAGAGTAGAGATGTATGGGTGTGGTTTTCTGATTCAGATCCTATTCAGATCCTGGGACATGGGACGCGGGGGAAACGCCTCTGCGTGTGGCCGACCTGACCGGCCGTGTGGCAAGGCGCCGCATCCGCCGGTGGAGTTGCTGGCCGGGGATGCAGGGGCCTCGAGTTTTTTTTCCTAAGGGTCATGACCCCTGCAACCTCCAATAGTTTCCATGTGCCGGAGACTGTGTGTGAATGTGTTTTGCTTGTTTAGGTTGAAAAGGGAATCTATCACTACTGGAAACACGTTTTGTTTCTTCCCGGAAGCGAATCGGCGAATGAAGGTCCAATGCAGAGCCCAGGACCCTCCAATGAAGAACCCAAAGCGATCAATTCCTCATGCGCCCTTAGAAACATCTCATTTTGAGGCCCCGAAATCAATCGAATCGGACCCTTAGGGTTTGGTTTGATAATTTCGTGGTCCCAGTCTAGGGACCAAATGTTCTTGTGACAGGAGATGGCGACGAAGGGGTCCTGGGATTTTCTGTTTGGGGTGCATATGTGACCCTGATGGGGTCCATCAAGAAAGTTCAATCTTCAGCTTGTGTTCTTTACAGGACCGACTGCTGTGTGCTAGTGCCAACCTGACGGTGGGTTCAGACACTACGGGCCAACGCCCCGGTCAAAGGTGCAACGACCGAACTCTAAGCTATTTTCCCTTTGCCGAGTGGTTCTGTGGCTCCCTGCTTGCTCTCAGTGCTTCGTTGGTTTCATACTCAAAACAGCCAGCCGCCCCCCCCCATCCAAAAAGAAAAGATGAAAGGCTTGTTCTATCCGAAGGGACGGGATGCCCCCTTATTAATTGAATTCCCCGTGGTCCCTTAAGATGAACACGCATAACCAAGAAGCTTTGATGAGTTCCAATTAGGGATGTATCAGGAGGTGCAAGGTTCTTGCGTTGCACGGGGCTAGCCTCTCCATTTGGACTGCGGCAGGTCTGATAACTTTGAGCGTTGCATGCAGAAGTGCGACTGGTGTGCAGTTTTGTTTGTCGATTTTGCGAAATCCAAATTTCCACCCCTTTGTATGAGCAGTCCAGTTTCGTGAGTCTTGAGTGGAGCCTTTTGAGAAGCAAAAGGGCGTTAATGAGTATAGGGAACCCCCGCTTTTTTGTTCTGGGCCCAGTGTAGTGCGCTGGCCACGTGTGCTGTTGGAGAGATGTATGTGAAGAAGTGTGGCATGTTTTTTCATCGTTTAGGTGGATATTTATGCCCACCAACCATTGAGGAGGCTTTTCCGCTTTGAAATTTGTGGTCATGTCCGGACGAAACCATTCTCTTCTTCGGCAGATTCAGATTTGGGCCTGACGCTTGGGTTAGAATCTCAGAAGATTCACCTAGCACCCCGAAACTGTTTTTTGGACAGTACGGGGGAGAGGGGACTTTGATGATTGTACAAAACCAGTTGTTGGAACCCGGGTGCAGGTGCTGAGTCCCCCCCCCTATTTGTTTTTGACCTGTTCATTTCAGCATCAAAGTTCGATTCAGCTTCCTCCCGGTGTGGATTGGTGGTTTGGTGGTTAAGGGAGGGGTTCCCATCTACCCTCCACAAGAACCAGGGGTTCCATTCCCAATCCACCAATCCAAACCACCAACTAGTGCCTGGTTGACACAGCCGGAGTCATCTCACAAGCCATATACTTTGAATTGAATTCAGACATCTCCAGCAATGCACGCAGGGTTGCGTGTATGCATGTGTGACATTTTGGAGGTGGTGATGGAAGCTGCTGTGCAGTAAGGGATGGGGTGGGCTGTAAAATTGGGTCATTTAAAGTGTTGGCTTTCTGTGTTCAAGAGCCTGACTTGTGTTTGGTCCTGTCTCCTGGAGAGAAGAACCAGAGCACCAGCTTCCGCCAACCACTGGCTTTGTCCATGTCCAAAATCCCCCCCCCCCCCCGGCAGCCAAAAAGCTGTTGTTGGGAATTAGGTGCAAGGATGCGATTTGGCAGTGGCTCAAAAAACCGGTACCGAAATGGAACCTTGGTAAGTGGAAACATGGACCAAAACCCGCGGTTTGCCCCTGTTTAATTTTGAGCCACAGCCATTTCTTGGCAGCTGGAACTCTTTGCCAGGCCGTTTCCCGGGCCTTGCCTGAGGCAGTTTGGATCCCTTCTGGCAGTGACTGGGAGGCCAGGGGGGCTTAGGTTGGCATCCACCACTTTTTGGGCTAGGATAAGGTGAGTTTCTTTGGGTGGGTTGATCTTAAAGGGGAAAATATCGGGCCGCCCTGAGACACCACCACCAACTGAGGCAGCCGAGTTGCAGCTGGCTGCGGGCCAGTCAATCGTTCATAAAATGGTACAGTAAGATGGCTCCGGAAGCTCACATATGAATATATATATATATAATATCTATATATATATATATATGCATAATATCTATATATATATATATATGCGTGTGGTTTTTGGTTCTGTCGGAACTAACTTTTGGTTGGGTTTTTTTACAGGGAGCCTAAAAGGAAGTCACCCATGTGGGCTCCCCACTTCACGGAGAGTCGCCCATCTTTGGCTCCTGGAGCGGGCGAGTTATAACGACCTCACGACCGAAGTCACCCCAAATTTTGTGGTTTACGCGGGGAATAGAGGTTTTTCAGCCACCTTACTTCAGGTTGGCGAAATCTTATACTTCGCCCAGATCAAAAGGCAGCCAAGGAATGCGTTTAAATGGGGAACGGGGCCCGCCCAAAAGTGATGAGCCACCAGCAACAAGGGAGTTTCGGAGTGGGCCCCCCCCCCAAAAGTGATGAGGGTTGCGAACCCCGGATGAAGCAGAACGCAGAACCCCTGGTTGATTTTGATCGGGGGTGTCCCCTTGTAGTGATTCATCACTTTTGGAGAGGCCCCACCCCCCTATCAATAGAGCCAGACAACAGAAAATCCTGGTTTCAACGGGTCAGCTTAGCTTCCGTGAGTTTGGGTCTTCGGTGGTTGCCGTGGTTCCTGACAGTTTTCTTCGAGCTTTGTTTCTCAGTTGCGCTGGACTTCCTCTGAAATTGTTTTGAACCGCCTTTGAACATTCGTTCAGTTTAGTTTGAAAACTGGGCTAGTGCACGCCTTCTCAATTGGAACTGCAGCTTTAGTACCCCCAGTTGCCCAGCGATGCCTTGTTTTCCTTTTTTTGGGAAGGGTTCCCATTTAAAGTCAACCAACTAAAAAAGGGTGCCCTTTTTTTTCCCATGGCCACTGGGCATCTGAGTGTTATAAGAGCGTAGTTGCACCGCACATGGTCTGGTTCTGGGCGTGTTTTGTTTCAGGGAAGGAGCCCAGAGGGGTCAAGACAAGCAACCGGGGGATCAACTCATATGACACAAGCCCAGTGCATCCGTTAAAACCAGTGTTTCTAACCCACCCACCCCATGCAAGAAATTCCTCAACCTTGTTGTTGTTGCATGATGGGCTTCCTTTCTTGCAAAGAAATAGGGTGAGCAACCCAAAACCGATGATATTGAAAGCCGGAAGCGAAAGGCTTTTGTCGATCAACATGTCCAGTACGTAGTCCATGATCCTCTTGGGAAGGCCATGGAAAACTAGGTGTCCAGCCAAAGCTTCAACGCATTCTCTCTAATGTCCTCGCACAAAACACAAACAAGCACAAAAAAGGAAGCTCATCGTTCCACTCTGTCTCTCTCTTTCTCTAATTTCCCTGCGCAGCCTGCGGGGCAAAAAAACAGAGCTCGTCGTTCGATCGAGTCGCGGACCGATTCGCCGGTCGCCAGGGGGGCATCAACGACCGGCACGCCGCGATGCCGCGGCACCTGGCGGAAACGTACCTGGGCGCCTGGAGGCGAAGATCCGAAAATCCGAAAACCCGAAGGAGCGGTGCGGTGTGGTTTTTGTTTGGGGGGAGATCCACCCATGCTATTTTTGTTTTTTTTCACTTTACAGGAAAATGGCCATCAATGGGCCGAGGCATCGAAACGGGTCAGCCCATGTTGCTTGAGTTGTCGAAACGGGGGGATCTGGTTGCATGGGAAGTTGCTGGGGCCCGGACTTGAGAAGGCCATGACCATGGACGCAACCTGGAGGCTTGGCCGGTGATTGGCCCAGCCCAGCTGCCAATTTCTGTCTTTCCATGGTTGTTGTTGGGTTTTACATTTGAAACATTTTTGCTATATTATGGTGGTTGAGTGGTTGAAATCCAACCACTTAACTGCCATGTTTTTTTAATGTTTTGCTCCCCTTTCAAGGTCCACCAAGTTTCTGGATTCCCGTTTGGTGCGCTTTTCTGCACCTGCAAGCCCGGAAAGTTCGGCACTATTCGTGACCCTCCTGCCGATTATGCCAACACGGAACCCACCCGGTCGGGTCTGAGGAAGATGGTCTTGCAATTTCCGGTTGGATGGGAGGGTACCCTTCCTCCCACCAGTGGGCATCTGTGGGAGGCTCCCCGGAAGATCAATTTCCTCAATGGACCCTCTGTCAGGCCATGTTAGTGGGGCGGAGTGTATCATCTGGTGTTTTGGGCTCGGATTAGACTCGTCTTGTGGTCCGAACTTTTTGGGTCGAGAAGACCACGGCGCAATACGGAAACCAAAAGCAGTGGAAGCTACTCGTAAACTGGGGTGTTCCACCCAATCTAATGGTTGTTGGTTTCCCTTTTTAAGAGTTTGAGGGTCCAGGTGAGCCACAATCAAAACTCGGATAGATGAAGGTTAGTAAGGGATAGTTCTGACCATAAATGGGTGCAGCCGCCTTATTGATTTTTGACATGGTGCTGGGTAGGCCGTGGCAATACCAGGTTTTGATTATGACTGAGGTGGGTGCGACTTGGCGATTAAGTCAACCCAGACTTTGGCTTGTGGTGGTTCCAAGTGCGTTTCTTCTTCGTCGAGTTGCTCGGGATCCAGGCATACCCCACAGCGAGTCGATCTGGGAAAGTTGCAACCAGGTTTTCCCTGCTTTCCCGGAACCTGAAGCAACCATCAGTTTCTGCCATTTTTTCCACCAAGGTCTGTTCATAGGGCATGCTTGTTTGGGAACCACTAAATTGTTGTTTCAGGTTCCTGGTACCTGTGATGAAGGGGTCGAGTCTTAGCTACCCGATTTCGAAACCGATTTCGAGTCCGTGAATTGCACCATCCATTCCCACCCCAAGAAAAACACCACCAATGAAGAACAATTCCCCCGTACCATTTGTGGGGTATCTTTTGTTGCTGATCTTTTGTGTGCAGGCTTTTTGTGGGCTTTTTGTTTTATTGCACGGGTATCTTTTTCAGTGGTCTTGTCGTTTGTATGGTCCACTCCTCAGCCCTGAAGCCGCGCCTTTTTTTTTTGAACATGCGGCGGAGAGTTGGGGCTATATTCGATCAACACGCGGAGCTCGCGTTCAACCACACCTCGCATCCGAACAAAAATGGCCGGTGCAAATGGGTGTGGCTCAGAAATTAAGGGCTTCTGCCCCACCGCCCCACAACAAACAAGTGGCTGTTTTGTTTGGGTGTTTTTCAGGATACACACCACAAAAGGGACTTCCTATTTTGAGACGGGCCCATATGCCTGTTCCATGTCGCCTTGTCGCCCAGACTTGCGACCCTGGTGATGAAAGTTACTCCGGCGCCTCATATGGGTTTGTCGTGATTTTACGGAAAGCCCTTCCAGCACCTCCCAACAACTGCATTTTCCCCATGTCCAAACTCCCAGGTGTCAAAAAAGCAAACATTTGGAGGGGGGGTGCTGGTTTGGCTTGGTGTTTTTTTTATGGCTTTCCAAAAGGAAGAACACCACACCATTTCTGGGGTTTCCCCTCGACATGCATCTTGCGAGCTGTTCGCCCGAGTTTCGCAGGCTACTGACCTCCGGACAGGCGAAGGAGGCTCGGCGGGCTGCGGAAGGGAAACCGAGGAAGGTCCTATGATGACTTTTCGGATGCCATGTTTGATTTTAGATAAGCAGGAACAATTCATTTGCAGGCCCTTATGAGATAGAGGACCCTGGAAGCAGTGGTGGCGGTCAAGCTAAAGTAAGGCCAAGAACAGCTGGATGCTTGTTGAATCAATGAAGCCAACAAGCATGTCCCCTTCACTTGCGTCTCTACCCTGGTGGAACATTATCATTGTCAACCAGACGGGTTGGTGAAACTCGTCATGGGGGGTCCAAGAAACGGCTTCTTCTTCCACTCAGGTGGTCGATTCGCCAAGTCAGTAAGTTGTTGGTAACCTAGCATAGGTGACAACCCCACTTATATATGTCCCTAAGTGGGGTTAACCTTGTTATGGCGATATTATATGTGTCAATGTGTCCCGAAGTGAGGTTAACCTTGTTATTCGGCGGCTATATTCCAATTGGCTAATAATCACTTGCTAACTTAGCCGAACATCCAAGAAGTCCCTGAAGGAAGGTCTTGATTACCTTCTTTTTCTCGCATATCGGGTTTGCTTGTGCAACGCTTTCCACGACCACCATGAGGATCTGATGTCCAAGTCAACCTAAGTGACGGGATCTTTCTTCAGATCAGGCAGGACTGAATCGGATGATTGGACTCACATACAAGAAATCCATTTGCGGCTGCTTTTCAACTTTCACTACGCTCACCACCGTTCTTGAGATGTTCACGGATTGGATGGTAGCTGCTTGAAGTGTCAGGTTGCGTTCGTAGCAGACGAAACCAGCTTTAAAGGGGGCTCCCCCTTGGCCGCAAGGCTGTGTTAACTAAGCGGGACAAGTGAAACCGTGGTGTTTCAATTCCCGCGTTTCGTACTCGGGGGTTGAATCCATACTTGTCAGTGCAGAAGTTGCTTTGCTTATGACACATCCCTATGCTTCCAAAGACCATTAAAAGTATGGGCGAGAAGCAGAGGCCATAAAATGGTTAAAGACCTATAAATGGAGGCTATTAAATGGGGATTGTACAAAGTTGGCTTTTTTGGTCCTATCGGTAAGGCAAGCAGGATGAGAAGTCAACCAGCCAAGCGCCTAAGAATGTCACATAAGACTACACTTGAGTGCGGGTGATTGCCAGGATTTCATGCCTGCTTTGCGGATAAATATTGTTGGCCAGACCATCATGTTGACAAGCAAGCTGATCAAACCGGCTGTGCTTACTCCTCAGCTAGTTCCAGCAATTTGTTTACGCGCGCGAATTTGATAAACTCCCAATGTTGAATGAACACATGAATATATATGGGGGTTGATCAAAAGGTCCTTGCAAGGAGTTATGTATTCGGTGACCATTCGTCTTGGCTTAAATCCCTCCGCGAAAGATCGGCGATGGAGTTCGCGAAAGAAACTTATTTTTTCGCGAAAGATTCCGCGTTGGATTTTTGGAGGCATGCCTGTGCACTTACATATTTGCAGACCCCGCTCCCTTGTAGAGGGAGATACGCAGCACCTACACTTGCATTATTGATTCCCTGCCTGTGTTGGGAATGGCGCAAATCAATAACGTTGGCTGGGCTATTTTGGAGCAAGTTTCGCGAAAGATCCGCGAAAGACCGGCGAAAGGCCAGGGAGCTTGTTGCAAGGTTCCGCACATCGCCGGCAAGCGCAAGTGGCAAGGGCGAATGACGATGACTGCTTGCACTTAACACTACGTACTGCACGCAGGTAAGCTGCGGCTATCCTGTGTGCAAGCAGCCACAATGGCTCCAGAGCGCACGCTGCAAACAAAAGGGCAAACAAAAGGGCTTGGCGATGGAGTCGCGAAAGATTCGCGAAAGAAACTTTTTTTCGCGCGAAGATGGCGTTTTCCGGAAACAGGAATATTGATCAACTGCCATATATATATATGAAAATTGGGTGCTTTAGTTTTTTTTGCTCATAAGCTTTAGGCAACGGAGTGTGAAGGTCCAATGTGTTGCAATCGTTTTCCCAGAAAACACGGGGTGAGGTTGGGGGGTGTCCGCACTTGGCTTTGTCGAAGGCAAAACTATTGTCGGTGATGAGTTGTTTTGCCTGGGAATTGTTTGCCCGCAACCAGGGCCTGTCCACAAGGGAGTTGTCCATGCCGTTTTTCGGGAGTTGTCCACGCCTTTTTATGGCCGTTCCACGCCTATTTGTGGTCGTTCCACGCCTTTCATGCTCGTTCCACGATTTGTCCATGGTTTGTCCACGGTACATGTTCTTCAAAGAAAACAATGTGTTCATCGCAATGCTTGCGCCGGGTGCATGCAGCCTGTGACTTGATGAGTGAAGGCAACGCAAAAACGAGCAACACAATATAACACAATGACAACGTGCACACACTATCCAGCCAGCAAAACGGGGCTTGGACGCACCAGCAGGTTCTGCAGAACTCAGTTCCAAGAAAGTCCAAATGATCCGCATAAAGTAGCCGGGGCCCGGCGTATGGTGTTCAAACATTCCTGTGGTCTTCGCTTGAAACTACTTTGCCTTACCCAAAGCGAATGCAGATAATATGGCTCTACAAGGCTCAAAGTATTTTGTTCGTGTCAAATCCCAGCGCAAACGATCAGACATGTACGCCGATTGACATACGATGTATTGAGCGTTGCGATTCAGTCAAAACAACGGCGCAATCACCTCCAAAAAAATGAAGATGCAAAGTAACTCATACTCGGTCATTTAGATGACGCGACCCTCTTTCCTTTTTATGGTCGAGGGACATAATCAGCAGGTGGTTTCCGCAGTTTATGGCCTAGACACATAAAAGTATGGTCGAGGACGCCCGGGGCATAGTCTTTGAAAGGATTTGTGGCCGAATCTAGCTGTTAGCAATGTGCAGTGCGGTTACTCCAAAAACCAACCAAAAAGCAGGATGTAAACGAAAAGCCAGGTATCGAACCTGCTCGGAAAAGCAAGGATGCGATTGTGGAGACGCTGCAAATCGATCGAATTCACAGATGCCGCTGTGGTTTCTGATTACTTGCACCCTCAGGCTTCTCTTAAGAAGGGTTTCCTGCCTCCAAAAATGGTGGTTAGTGTTTCCCTTTACGGGCAGTTTGAGGGTGTAGCAGCCTTTTTGTTCGGGGGTTCCCTTGAGATGCAACCAAAGGTTTTTTACGGTACCGGAGCGAAGCCCCGGCATTCCCAAGACTTGCAAAGCGAATCGACCTAAAACGAGCTTTTGTTTGTTCCACATTTTAGCATAAGTGTCCTTTGGAAAAATAGCTGGACCTGGCCGGCAAATTGAACAAAACCCATCTAAACCCGTGCCAACGAACCAAGAAGACAAAACACCTAGGCGTTCTGGGTTCAAACCTTTTTCGTGGCACCAAAAGGATCGATCAAACTGGTTGTAACGGAGAGGCAATGGTCTCGACGCTTGGGCCTACAAAGGCGCGGCATTTTGGATCGGATCGGATGCAAATGGCTCGTGTTTTTTGGGGCCAACCATCAGAGCTGGATCGGTCGCGGTTCGCTTTGATAAGAACTTGCTTTCGATATGGTTGTGTGTTCGGGATATGGTGTTGGTGTTCTCGGAAAGCTGCCGAGTTCAAGTAATCGAAAGCTGCTGATTTCAATTAATCTCATGGTGCACCGGCCTGATTCTGACCCGAATTGACCGGCCAGAAACTACACACACTCCTTGGGATTTGAAACAATAGTGGAACACCAAGCAAAAGTTGTTCAGTCTGCCAACTCTGGCAAAACAAGACCTGCCCACTGACTGGAACAACTTGTATGGCTTACTTTGAAATCGTGTCAACTAAACATGTCAAGGGCGGGTGAGATCGGTTTGATTGAGTGATACAGACAAGAACGAGCAACCAAGCTATGATGTGGCACAATTGACCGCCCCACACCTGCCACACAAGCCTTTAACATGAAAAATGGAATCTGACCAAATTGGCCCACTGGTGCATGTTGCTAAACAGCCCTGAGAGAGCAACACTTGCCTTCTGCTGAAGCAAAACCCCCAATAAACCAAACATTTGGAAAGAGGTTACAACGAGCAACATCAAATCGGTTCAGGTCTCGTTTTGAGCCTCCTGTCGGCTTCTTGTGGCAACATGTTCGGGCAGGGATTTTGCCGGTTATTTCTGGCTTTGTTGGCTGAATGCTAAGAAGCCATGTTGATTGATTTACCCAAAGGGCGTTCTGTTGTTCCAGATTCCCTAGTTTGCACACCTTGACCATCAAATTACAGGGCTGACCCAAGCACTATTCACAGTCGCCGGCACCCAGGAGTGCTTGCCCGATACTGACAGGACATGTGTATAGTTTTAGAGGTTTTGGTCTGGTTGCAGGCCCACTGCGTCGACTTGGCGCAAGCACGTCGGCTTTGTCGCTGATTGCTTGTGTGCACGCGAGCTGAGACAACTTAGCCCCGGGAAGCAGCACCCGCCCGGACCACTCAAACTACACTTGCACAGGGGGAATCACCTTATATGTTCTTCCATTTGCTTAAGAATATTTTGTTAGTTTCACGTTCTGGTGTTAAAGGGAATTTATCACTACTGGACATATTTTGTATTTTTTCCAGGGCACTCAAGAAAAAATGGAGGTTTTGGGGGCAACAGCTCGTTAGGCCTAAGGGTAGTTGGAGGGTCCAGGTGGGTTTAGGGCGAGTGAAAGCCCTCCAACTTCTGCCAGCGCTTGCCTGGCTGTCCATTCCCGTCGACCTTTTTGCATGATACCTGCAAGGGAAACCAAGGGGAAGCCACCAGGAACATGGCAACACCTTGGGACACTCGGAGCAAACTCCTGAAGCGACATCAGCTAGTTTGCAGACAGATTCGGATTTGCCTTGTTTTCACTTCTGATTATTGAATATGCTTCAGCGGCGAACCAATTACACATGTTATATATTCGCTCAAAGTGTTTTCATCCCCCACAACCTCATTCTCGTAGTTGAGCCCTTGTAGCAATAATTTTGGTTTTGTTGGCAGGTGAATGGCTACCCTGGGCCCAACACCGAGAACTTCCTGCTCGCGAGGTTGTCGGACGGCCAAGAGTGGAGAATTCACTCGAGCGAACCCGAGCGATGGAGCAGACCCAAATCTTTGGGTGTGTCTTTTTTGGGAACCCCTTTTTGGTTGATCTTAAAGGGAGACCAAAGGGAAATCAGCCATTTTGGGGGTGTCCCCATTTACATGAGACAACCCCGTTTGGCTTCCTTCATCGCACAACCACTAACAAAGATATGCTTCACAATGTTGGGGGGTTGGGGCGGGTTAAAGTTGCTGTGTGTTTGTTGAATTACCATGCCAATGCAGGATATAGGAGTTCCCCCTGTCAGGCTCAAGTTCCAGAGCCTAGGGGCCTTGTCATTTCCCGTTTGGGTGACGCATCAAAGGGGTTCATGGTTGTCCTTCATGGGTTCAAACCATTCCTGTTTTCAGGGTGTCCGAGCCGCTTTCTCAAAGGAACCCCCAAAATAAATCGAAAGTTTCAATGGAAGCCACCGGTAAGTTTATCAACTTCTGGTTTGAGGAAATCCCGGAGTTTGCGAGATAGCTTTGTGGGCACTGCCACGTAGAGCCAAAGTTCAAGAACCCTAAAGGTCTCGATGGATTTTTGGGGCCTCAACATGGGGTTGCTTTTGAGGGCCCATGAGGAATTGGTCGCTTTGGGTTCTGAATTGGAGGGTCCCTTATGGGGTGCGCATTGGAGGGGTCATGACCCTTAGGGCATATATATATATATAGGCGTGTCTTATTCTAGGGAACCCCTTTTTGGTTGGGTTCAAGGGAAACCACAAGTGCCATTTGGGGTTTATACTACCAAAAGTGCCACTTAGGGTAGTCTGAACCCTTATCCTAACCTCTCTACTGGAGGACCCAGTAAAGGGAAACAAAAAAGGAGAGTCGAGGAAGTAATCCATTTTGGGATGCATGTGATTTTTTCTTGTTGGACCCTTTCATGAATAAGGAAGGATAGGAAGTTGTGTAGAGCCAAAGTTCAAGAAGTTTGATAGATGGGCCTTTGCAGCTGGAAGCGGAAACGCTGAGAGGCCGCGCGTCAAGCGAGGCATTACTTCGGGGTGGAGTACGAGCGCTTCCCCAGCGCGCCTCTGGCGAACGAGAAATTGGGTTTCAGTGGGATTCCGCCAGCTGTGGCGAGCACGTGTGTTTGTCCGCGTTTTCTCTCTCCTTTTTTTCTCTGAAGGGTACCCTTTCTGGGGTTGGCTTACAGGGAAACATGCTGCAGAAGGTCCCCTGTTGTCGCACAAACCCACGCCTTGTGGAAAGAGAGGGTTGTTTCTTACAGCTTGCAACGGCGGGGACTTTTGGTTGCAATCCATGAGAAGTGGATGTCACGAGTGGTTGCGGTCAGAAGCAAATTAGGATTCTGACAAGTTGCCTGTCCGGGGTGGTTGTTTCCGATGGAGTCACCTGGAAAGATGCAATTTTGAGGGGCTGGAGTCTCTGGATTTCAGGGACACCAAGTTGTGCTCCTGAATGGGGGGGATTCTTGCTCAGACTTTTAGTGCTTCGTTCTCTTGGCCCTGAGACATATGCGGTAAACTGGGGGGGGGGGGTTCAAATAAAACGTTCTGTAGAAAGCCGATTTTGAAAGATCAATCAACGATCTAGTAGCAAGCTTGGTGGTTGAGTCTCTACGCCGGTGTCCATCGTTCACATGGAAACGTTGGCAAATGTGGCAGCTTCCAAGCGCACTTTGTCCGCAATTCCCCTGATGTGGATAGGCTGTTCACGTTTGGATGATGCTGAGATGACCGCGGCATGGCTCGCCTTCTTTAACAGGCAGATGTATATGTCTGAGGTTTTCTGGAGCAATTGTTGCCCGCTGGAGTCATCAGAAGCGCAGTTTCGGAATGCGGCGAGGTAGCCGTCCTTGGGGTGCAGCCGACTGTTTGAGCCATCGTAGATGGATTTGCTTTCCCCCAGAAACGCCAACGAAACTCTCCAATCATGGCTCGTTCAACCTCCAGGCAAAACTCAATTCCCTTCGAGGTCTCCGGAGCTTTCAAACACCTGGCTCTCGTGGAATTCCCCTTGAAAAATCACCCCAACAATCGAAACTCACTTGGAAGTGGCCAAAAGGATGTGTGTTTAACCGCAACAAGGGACGTGTAGAGAATCCTGTCTACCAAATGCTTGGTTCCAGTGATTTGGCCATGGGTCACAATCCAAATCGTACCCCCGGTGAACATCCCAATCCCCACTAAAAAGGAGTAAAATGGGTGGTGCACCTACCCCAAAATAGGATCCCATTGGTTTTGACAACCACAGCCATTTGGCTCGTAGGCCCGGCGCCAAGTTGAGGGAGGCTCGCTCCGCCCAGGTCGCGTACCTGACCTGCACTCTTCGCTCAAAGAGCCGCTGGAGCGACGGGGATGGGTTGAGAACGTGTGTCTAGCGTCCAAGGGAGCCGAAGGTGTGGGGATTTCCCTTCATTGGACCCTGCATGGCTGTTGTTGGGAAACATTTTGCATTTTTGCTGATTGTGGTTTAGTGGGAAATCCCCACTGAACTGCTAAACATTGAAAACTGTTGCTCCCCTTGCAACGTCAACCAAGCCTGTACCCACAAAGCTGTTTTTCGACCTCCATCTAAGCTTTTGTGGGTCCAAGAAAACAGGCTTGTGCTTGGACAAACAGGGTCCCTTCCCTTCAGCACTTAACAGCGCCGAAACGTGCCCATTTTTTTGGGGGATTCGGACCCCCAACTCGGCTTCGGCTTCTTTTGTTCTTTTAAAGACCCAACCAAAAAGGGGCTTTTGCAAAAAGAGACACCCAACTATAGCTACGGGACAAAATGAACACTCTTTTTTTAGTGGTGTTGGTGTCGCAGCTTCCAAACTGATGGCTTTGGATGCGTTTCTTGTGCAAGTTGGCATGCGCCCCAAACAATCTGTTTTCCTCTGTCGTAAATCGCTGTTTTGGCAGATTCCGCAGTTTAGGGATAGGATGACATATATATATATATATACAGTATAGAGCGATGATCAGACGCCCATGACCGTCACGATGAGTCTGGCTTGTAGGTGAGCGATGATGAGGCACCCAGGACGTGCAAGGAAGGTTTACCCTGCCCATGGTCCGGACACTATAGGCAAGAGATCGAAAACATCGGACTCGACTCATTGAACAGAGGCTTCAAGGCATCGAAAACATTGTACGACGCATTTCACCAAGTGTCTTGCACTTGGCGCATCACCAAGTTTGCTGTGACGATCAATTCAAAGGACCTCACCTATAGGGGGGCTTGCGACCTCACCATGGCTTTTCCTGTTGGCTTGGCGAATCGTGATAATATGAACTCCTCCTAAGCTGGGTGCCAAATAGCTCATGGTGATTGCAACAAACCCGAAGCCAACCTAAGGTTTTTTTTTCCACGGCCCCAATGTCCACAGACCAACCAGATTGCTAGATGTCAGGGGTCCCTGCATCTTCTTCCATTTGCTGAAAGGAATATGTTTCATTTTCCCCTGTGCATTTCAAAGGAAACCTATCACTTGGGGCCATTTTATTTCCGGTTTTTGGGGCTACATAGGCCTGGAATCTCTCCAACTGTCTAGGTCTGGCAACCAAGAGTCACCCTGGCGGGTCCCGGCCATCAGGTTCAACTTAGGGCTATTTCGCACGGGCTTCAGACCCAAGTTCTCCCGAAGCTCTCGGGGAAGAATCTCGTACTAGCTTTGCAGCTTTCCACAGCTGTGCCAGCCATCCGGCTCCGTTGGTTTTAGTTGTTTTTTTTTGGCTTGTTTAGTGGCGATTCCCATACAACCCACTAAAAGTTAGATTTTTAGCCAGGGGATCTGAAAACGGACAGCCCGGTTTTGTCAAGACCTTGAGGCAGCGACTAAGTGCAAAATATAGCCACGAAATGTCACCACCAGCGGGTCCCAATAGCTGCTTGTTGGTTTCCGTACTTGGGAGTTTGGATATGGGAAAAAGCAGTTTTGGGGAGGGGTGCTGGTAGCTGTTAACTCAGACCCTCGATTGAACATCGGATTCGGCCTCCACGCAGGACGCAATGCTTCGGCACTACATCCCACGATGCGCCAGGGTGGCTCTACAAGGAGGCGAGCAGCCATCTTGCTTCGTTGGACCAGCCTATTTTAGCCGAGAAGGGACATGTTTTTGTTTTTTTACTTTTTTTCTCCCTTTAGGATGGTTTTCCTTTTTTTCTTTCTTATAGACCACCAGGAAAGGGGCCCCAAAGCAGACACCCGCAAAATTGGTGCCGTTTTTCTGGCTCCTCGGTTTTGAGCCAATGCCGCCTCTCAACAAATCTGGGAATCCAGCACCACTCATTTGACAAGCCCCTTTCTGGATTTCACATCAATGTGCAGTGTAATTTCAATGGGGCTGAATGAATAAAGGAATGTTGGGTTCTTTCATCCAAGTCTTGAGGCATACCTGGCCCGACGCGCGTTATTCTAACTCAGTTGTTCAGTGGCTCCCTTTTTCCCCTTTTTTTGGTGGCTGCCCCACTAAAATGGTCCAAGCCCAAAAAAGGGTTCCCTTTTTTCCCCAGGGTCACTGAACAACTGAGCTAAAGTGGAGCACTTTGGTCTCACCAAAAGCCACCCGGGCCCTGCGCAAGGAGATGGAGCACGCCACACGCATCGCGAAGTGCCCGGGGCCCCAGGGCAGGGTGTGGTTAGGGAACCGGGACACCGGGGATTATGGTGTAATAATCAACCCCAGTTTATTAATAGGAGGGTGTTCCCCTCCAAAAGTGAACAATGCCCACTAAAACCAGGGACACCCCCATATTAATAAACAAGGGTTTATTAATAGGGGGTGTTCATCAACACCCATGAAACAACGGAGATGGGGTTTGAGTTTGGCAACCTCACCGATGTTTTGGATCTTGGGTCAGTTTCTTATTTCAGAATCTTTGCCTTTCAAGGGAACTGGGCTCAGAAAGGGCTGGCTCTCGATGAGAAGCGGGTGCCACTTGCACGCCATGCCCAACAGGCAGGGTTCTGTATACTCATCCAACTAAGTGTCAATAGATGAAACAACACAAACTTTATGAGCCACAATCACAACCTGGGTACATGAAGGTTAGTAAGGGCCAATCCCAACCATCAATAGCTGCGGCCGCCTTCTTAATTCTTTACATGGTTCTGGGCTCACCATTTTAATGCCGGGTGTTGATTGTGGCTCTTATGTCATGTGCTTTATCTCCTAAAAAAAAAGAAGCAACAAAACACATGTACATAGTGCTACGGCTTGTTGGTGGTACCCTCTTCAGGCATTCCTTTGAAGTCATTTCTCTGAGGCGTCAGGTTCGCTTGGACGCCCCGGAAGATGGAGGACTGCCGGACGCTCGGTGTTTCTGATGTGGTCGACGTTTCGCCCTCAGTTGCTGGTTTGAACCCCTGGTTCTTGCGGAGGGCAATACTTTGGTGCATGTTGCTTGGATGTTAGGACTTTAACTTGTTGCCAACGATTGGGGTTTCCACTAAGCCACTAAAAATTGAACTGTTGTCGGGGGAGAAGAAAGCGACCGGGGTCGGCACCCCATTTCTGCTGTGGCCCGAGGAACACCAGTTCCAGAACGGTTCCGGCTCTGGGTGGGGTTCTTGCAATGCCCGTTGGACATCAAGACACAAGGGATGATGGTTCGAACTCGTTTGATTTGCTGGTTCTCAGCAGGGAATGAGAAATGGAATGACCCCTTAAACCATCCAACTGGTTTCCTTTAAGGGAGTCCCCAAGCAGTTCATTCGTTCTCATCACCCTGACACTCGGTCACTCCCTACCTATGGCACCACTAAGTTGATTGGCCAGCTTTCCCCGTGCCTTCAAGGCCTAACAGCTCCATTGAGCGACCAACACCTGGGTGCCAACCACTGCTTTTCGGACAGTGCTTGGGATCTTGGACATGCCCTCGGGGTCATGACCCCTGCAATGCAGACCCCCCCAACCCCTACGGGAAAAAAACACCAACAAAAACGGCCAATTCCTCGTGGGCCCTCAAAAACAACTCATTTTGAGACGCCCACAAATCAATCGAGACCCTTAGGGTGGGAAACAAACAGTTGTGGGGGGGGGGGGGGTAGTTGAACTGGTTGAAACGATAACCAACACTTTGGCACGACCCTCTTCCACAGTGATTGGCAACCTGGTTTGCTTGTGAACATGTGCGCTTCCTTCTCGATCAATTTTCTCCATGGATTTTGGCATCAGTGTCAGACGTGTCCTGGTTTTCTTGACCGCATAACCCACCTCAATATTGTTGCATCAAACATCCCGTGCAGACAACGATCACATTGGCCCAAGTGGGGTACTGACGTTGTTTGTCAAAGTGTGCTGCGTTTGGAGACCCCGTGTCTCAGGTCAAGGCGTGGAGCCAAGATTGCGAGCCTTACATGAAAGCTCGCACAGGGTCCTCTTGACTTTAGGATAAAGGTACCTCCCCTCAGGTTCCATGTTGACTAGGGCCCCAGTAGTGCCCTTTATCGTTTCTTTTTTGGGGGAGGGTTTCCCTACTAAAATCGACTACAGAAAACATCGGGTACCCTTATTCTATCCTCTCTACTGGAGGACCTAGTTGATAGGCAGTGTAAGCTTGACAAGGGCGAACGGGGCGGAGCAGAAACGAGGTAAGGAGGACATCTCGCACCTCTACCGTGGCTTCCGGTGAGCGGATGTGACTGGCCGAAAATGCGCTGCGACTTCGGGAGTCACTAGCGCCATGCGCGCAAGAAGTGTAACGTGCGCTGGGACAATGTGGGTTGAGATTGGTTGAAAGACCTGCATACTTATCCTTAGGAAGTTTGATTTTGGTGAGCATCTCGGACATGTTAGTGTAATCCTGCTCAGGAATCAGAAAGTAAACCTTGACAAATGTGAATTCATGATGTTGTTCTCGCCAAAATGCAGCTGCACTGGGGCTTGCTAGTTGGCGCTGCGCGTCAGTCTTCGGAAGGCCAACAGCGGGCTGCGCTGTCCGACGTTCAAAGGCTGACTGAGTTCAAGAGACTCGTGGCAAATGAGAAACCCGCACTGCTGCCTTGTCAGCTCAAGCGCAGCCCACGCCCTCGAGGGGCGGAGTTTTTGCAGCTCGGCTTTTCTTGCCCCTCCCAACAATGATTCACCCACTTGCCCAAAGCGAATCGACCTTTCAGACGCTTGGTTTCCTTGGTTTGGTCCATATGTCAAGGTTCCAAAAGGTTCATTTTTCATTTCTCGGTCGTTGGCCCCATGTGGCTATGAACTTGAATAGCGCACCCCTCAAAAGTGGTGGGTGGACATGGATCCCCACTTAAATGATGCCCAAGCCCGAATTATTTTTTAGACCCATGTGGCAAATTGGGGGACACCGGAATTTTTTTTCCGGGAAACGGGGCTCACAGTTCTGTGGCTTTGTGGAGAGGTGCTCAAGGCCTCGATGTCCATTGGTTTACGCACTTGGTTTCTTTTGTCCTGTGCCGGTAAACTCTACTGCTATTGGGTTGGATCTTTAGACTTTAACTTTTTGGTTTGTTGTTTTTCATATTTCCTTTTAACCAGCCAAGACTGAAGAACTTTTTGCTGGGGGATCTACAGCACCCAAGTTAAATCTTGAATAACTCAAGGGCCGCAAAGTAGCCGCTCTCGGAAAGAGGCTCAGGCCCACCCCCAGGGGCTGTAGCTGTCCAAGTGGTATCAAAGCTGCCGTTTTTGGCGCGGGTTGAGTCGAGCAAGTCTGAGTTGCCAAGTTAGTTGGTCACCGTTCGGTGATAACCCACCTTGTTTGGTCTCCCTAACCTTGTGACTAGGTAAAGAAAGCCGTCAACCTCAGTCACTAACTCGGCGAATTGAACATCCAACTAGTCATGGGGTCATTTGTTCAGATTGCGGAAGGTGATTGTCCACCACAGACCCCAAAGCCAAAGGGTGAGACGCCGGACGGACCCGTTCTGTGCACACCACGGTGGAAGGGCATCCAGGTTTTTTTTCGGGTTCCTTCACTGTTCTGGGACGCCCCAACGGCTTACCCAAACGTGGAACCTGACTCAAATTTGTCGCGTGGAAACCCGTTTGAGTCTTTCTCACGATGGACTTCGGCCGCCCTTTGGGTTCGTATTTAAGGGGAAGCCAACAGGAAACCAACCAAAATGAGGGGCGCTCCCACGATGTTGAGAAATCATTTTCCTCGAGCAAAAATAACACCCGCGGAGTGGGTTCCAGGTTGAGTGTTTTTTTGTGTGCGAGGGTACCTTTGTTTCTTTGTTAAAAGGACAACTAAAAGGACAACCACGATATATATATATATATCTGTATACATATGTATCTATATTTGGGGGGAGGGTCCCCTTGAACATGAAACGCCCACTTTGATGTTGAGGCATATATCGTGGCTTGAGGCTTCAGGGGTTTCAATCTTAAAATGTTTGGTATTTAAGTGAGGAAGCGGCGCACTATTTGTTGTGGAACCCCAGAAAACCCATTCTGAATTTCTACTGGAAACGTCTCCTTTGGGAGGTTTTGGTTTTGGGATTCCATGTCAGTTTGCAGGAGGTGTTTCTTGTGGTAATACTTGTTCAATCTAATAGAGCCGAGCTCTGTTCGACCGGGACCTGCGCGTGGGGACGGGCATTCCATGTGGCGGCACGGCAGCCGATTCCTTGTGAAAGTGGGCGCGCAGAAGCTTTGAGTGCTAAACCAGAGGCTCTATTGGTTTGGCAGCCATAGCTCTCAGTTTCTTCCCTCCTGTTTAAGTAAGTCTGCTCGGTCCAGTAGTGCCCTTCTCTCCCCTTGTTTTGGGGAGGGTTCCCCTACTAAAATAGACTACAGAAAAGTTGGTACCCTTATTCTATCCTCTCAAATCTGGAGGACCTAGTCTTGTTTGAATCAAACCTGAAAGGTTTTGAACGCCCTCCACTAGGAATCTGGGCTTTGCGTCCAGCTGACACCGGAGGTTGGGTCCCGAAATTTCAGGGCTCCGGAAAAGATACATTTTAAACATGTTGTTTTTCAACACCAAAATCAAGTTGGAAACCACCATTTACAAGGCAAGGTTCAAGCGTATAACGTAAGGATCCCTGCGAAAGACCACCCGGCCTGGGGGTCCCGGATTTTGGGGCCTCAAAAATAGGCTGTTTTCTCAAGGGCTCCGGGTACAGGCATCCGGGTTCTTCATTGGAGAGCCCCTGGGGTCTGCACGGGAGGGGTCATGACCCTTCGGCGGTACCGCATGGTAGAGCCAAAATGTGGTTTGCGCCAAGCGAGCTTTGGCTTGTTTCCTTGCCAGTGACGGCGAGATAATTTGATTTCTTTAAGGCCCACCATCAACCTGGACCCTCAAGATACACCTTAAAAATGGGTGGCCCCACAATTATGTATTGGTGGTTTCAGTTTTTTTAGGGTAGTTTGAGGGCCCAGGAACACAGATTTGCTGGCGCGAATGGGGAGTTGCGAATTGTCATCGGGGTGGATTGCCGCCTGGCTTGCACACTGATTGATTGACCCCTGTACGGCCAAGGTCTGATGGAATATTGCCTTGCACTGCTGCACGGCTGCATCATGCAACCGCACATTTCTGGTAATCTTAAATGGCATCATTCTTGTTGATGGACGTAAATGGAAATGATCTTCGCGAAAAAGGTGTCTTTTTGTTCCGACAGAGCGAGCTATTGAAGGGGAATTCCGATGAGCCAGGGGTCACTGTCAAGCCAGCGGCAGGGATCAGGTATGCCGGACTGGGGTAGTCCTGCACTTCAATGGTATCTCAAATCTGCTTCTGCCAGGGTAGTCTGGTCAGCCTCTTATATGCACAGAAAGGGGCTAGCATGGGTAGCAACAATGAATTCGACTCTTGGTTCAATGGCACTCTTTGAAATGAAGGTCAGAAGTCAGATTTCGGATTTGCCATCGGATCATTTCATTTCGGCGAGAGGGTGTACCTTGCTGGTTCTTCAGACGTGGAGCCACCCGACCTGTTTAGTCCACCAATGAAGTTGAATACTTTCGCACAAACATTGAACCCGACTCAACTGGAAGATGTTTCTCGTCAAGCCTGCTAAGAGAGGGTAACAGTACTCAGTGACAGCGATTCTTTTGAGCCGGACTTGTGCGGTTGACTCACCATTTCTGTTGTGTCGCTGAAGGCTCGCGCATGAGTCCTAACTTGGTGGCTCCCAGCCATCCCCTTAGCCTTTTAGCTTTTAGTTTCCATTTGAGCCACTAAAAGCTAAACTTTTAGCGGGGGATCTGAGGGCAGCCCAGCTAAGGCAATGAATGCAGTGTTCTTCATATGCGCGCTTCTGACTGCAGAAGGCAGGAACTCGGCAACTCGCGGTTCCTGAGGTCGAAAGCTCTGACTGGAACTGCCAAGTGTCGGGGTCGCGCCTCAGCATGAGTTCGGCAGAGTTACTAGGTCACCCCAGCTAGGTGCCCTGTTACTGCTTCTTTTTTTGTTGGGAGGGTTCCCCTAAAATAGACGTCCTGAAAAAAGTCGGTACCCCCATATTCTAACCTCTCTACTGGAGGACCTAGGTTATCATTGCTGCCTTTGGTGAAAGGTCCCAACTATGGTGTGTTGTGTTTGTCGTGCGTTGAAGAGTGCTTTGTTATGTTGTTTGTGTGTATGTGCGCGTGCATATGCCTCTGCGCCTGTACCTGTGCCAGTGCGTGTGGATATCTCTGTGTGTGTGCGCGCTTGTGTGTGTGCGATATCTAGCTATTATGCGTGTTTGTGTGTATCAGTTTCGTTCACCTCTTCACCTGTAGAGCCCCCAGTCGCAAGGAAACACTGAACATGACATGGCTTAAAAGCAGGTATGCCTTGCGGTGTGATACTCAGGACGCCAGTGGTGGCATTGATTCAAGTATACTCTTGTTTTTGTTTAGGGCAAAGTGGCCATTGATGTGGCGTGTTTTTCAGGGTACCGGAAGCCAAACGCATTCCAACTATTTAGGGGGCTCCCTGACAGCAATCCTATACCGATTTAGTGCCAAAGAGAGGGGAGCCAATGCAGCCTAGCGACTTTGAGTGACCAATGGTGACTATTTCGTGCTGTTTTGCGCCGCAAGAAGAAGCAGCGGGATGACGAGAGGCAGAGGTCACAGAGAAGACAGCTTTACGTCCGGGACACAGTGTTCCAGCTGCGACGCATGAAAGCGAGGCTTGCTGATGATCAGCTGATTTCCTTGTGGAAAGGGCTGTCGGGTTTTCATGCTGGCTTCAGCTACGTGCCAAGCGCATGATTGCGAGCGGGGTGAGTTAAAATGTTCGCTTATTCCTTTTCAGGGACACATGGCTCCCCTCTCCGAACAATTGGCAAAACCACGAATCACCGACCATTTGGGGCTTTGAGGTTGAAATATTATTTTTCTTTGAGACAAGTTGGCCACAGCCATCTGGGGCTTTGAGCTTCTTTGACCCGCCTTCCGACTTATGCCAAACCCCATGGGCGTGTGGGCCGGGCGGGTTAACCTGGCCATTTGGGGCTTTGACTTTCTTAAACCCGTCTTCCGACTTATGCCAACAGCCGCGGGCCGGTGAGAGCGGGGGACTATTGGGTGGTTTCTTTCTCGCGCAGGGCGGCTAAATGGGAGCTCCCTCATGGAGGTCTCCTCCGAGGGCGAGATGCTCCTCGAGAGCGGCTTTGACACCTTGGAGGCGCGGTCGCTCAGCCGCGAGCCGTGCGCACGGCTGCACGCAAAACCGCGCGGTGTGACGAGAGTCACAAAGAAAAACCACGGGTAGATGAAGGTGAACCCTAGGCTTTAACCCCCATTAAAAGAAAGGCTTTGGGACCCAATTTGGATGATGACAATCTTTAGGCGAACAATGGTGGTTATACGAGCCCCCACTGTTTTGATGGAGGCTTGATTCCCAGGGTTAAGGGAGGATCCCAACCATTAAATAGGCTGGTGCGGAAGTCCGCCTTTTTGTAATTCTTGAAGCATGGTTCTGGGTTCACCTTTTTTGTAGCGATCGGTTTGGGTTCGGCAGAAGCACCGAGATATGATGAAACTTGCCACTGGCCACTGGCCTTTGGATCGGGGAAGCCACACCCCATCTACTAGTATGCAAAGGTGTATATATATATATATATATTATTATACATATTAATATATATATATATGATTTGTAGGTCGGGGTTCCGCTTTGCGGCACACGTAAGCTTCTACAAACAGGGTGTATCTCACCAAGCAGTGCATTGGGTCTGCGCACTTCGAATGTTGACCTCGGATGAATCTGTAGGACTATGCTAATCAGGGGTGGCAAGCCACTTTTGGAAAGGACGTGCGCGCTATTTTAGGAAGTTCCTTTTATCGTATGGTCCGGATTCATCCACCAGGCCAGTGAGCTAGCGCACGGGGCGCATGGGCACTCGCAAATTCCTCCGGCTGCCGTGTCTCGCCTAGCACACGCAAATCGCAACTTGAGTAGGTTTGTGAATAGGACACTTCCATTTGCTTAATATTTATTGTTCCCTTGTTGGTTTTAAGGGGAATCTATCACCACTGGATATTTATATTCTTTCCACGGACTTAAGCAAATGGAAGGAAAGGAAGCAACCAGTGCCCTGAAATGGGGTGTCCTTAACTCTCCCTTCACAGCCACAGTTCGACGAAAACAATACTTGATGGGGCACCCCAAAAAAAAAACTGCGACCCTAGGCGATACTTTTGGCCCATCAATAGACTTGGAGTGTTAGGTGTGTGTTCCTCACTAGCGGATCCTCCTTAAAACCAGCCGCTAGTTTTTCTGACCTGACCTTTGAGTTTTTCTCCGTTCACCTTGGCCCCTAACTCTAAGGGTTTTTGTATTACACCCTTGGAATACACCACGTTTCCCGGGAAACACGTTATTTGGAACCACTCTGGGTCATTTCCCCAGGGTGTATACAAAAACCCTCAGACGAACTCGGGAGAAATCGCAGTCTGCCAGGAGCTGCCGTCCAAAGATTGCAAGGAGCCGGGATCCACAGTGCGACACCGACAGGACACTCACTGAAGGAGACCCCAAGCAGTTAGACTAGGCCTCTCCCGTCCGCATGTTGCCAGTCATAGGGTCCCCCCACACCTTTTTGGCACAATTCAAATACACCCGCCAAAACCGCCCTATGTTCAATCAATTATCACTCCCCGAAAAGTGGATAAACAATGGAAAAAGGAAATCCCAAGGGCTAACTCAAATCATGTCAACAATCCCAGTAAAATATGGATGGCAAATTGCGAACGGGACAAGGCTATATTAGATAGATGTTCACCGTCATGGCTCACGTGTTGACGGCTGCAATTGCACAGACATAGGCCACAGTTCCAACTGACCAGGGCGACCGCTCCACCTGACATGGGCGACAGTTGCCACTGACTTAGCAACAATCGCAACAGCCCGAGAAATCCGTCCAACACAGCCCCAGAAAATCCATTGCAACAGCCCCAGAAATCCGTTGCAACTGCCTTAGACTTCCGGTGCAACAGCCCCAGAAATCCGTTGCAACTGCCCTGGACTTCCGGTACAACAGCCCAAGAGATCCGTTGCAACTGCCCTAGACTTCCGGAGCAACGGGCCTAAAAAGCCGTAGCAACTGACCCAGCATTCCACAGCAACTGCCCAAGGCATCCCTTGCAAGGTAAGGTAGTTTCACCACTGTCCCAAAAGTTCACTGCGTCAGGGGGATCCAATATGCCGGTGACAATCAGCACCTTGCTTTCCGCCGCAGATTCACTTACCGAGATTCGTTTGATGCATTTGTTGGTTCAGTCCGATGTCACATGTCAGCAACATCATTGTGTTTGTGCATTGAAGTATAGACGTGGCAAGCCTGCAGCATCATGTTGCCATGAAGCACAACCGTGCACAGAAGCAGCGGCTGCGCGGACTTTCAGCCGTGTTGTTGTTGTTTGTCCTTGCATGCTGGACTCCAGCAGGATTTGTGAGGCATGCCATTCCACATCGTCGTGATGCTGTCCAGGCTGCATGTGACACAAGATTGTGGTGTGAACGTCGTGGTTTTAATCGCAAACTGTGCGAGTGTTTCGAAGAGAACATGCAAACAGATGCTTCGCCTCTGGTAAGGATTATGCAACATATGAGGTTTCCCTGCCTGCGCGGGAGCTGGGTGTTGAACGCCCCCTTCAAGCTCTGCAGCTGCCCACTTTATGTCAGAGAGGCTGATTTGAACATTTTTGCACGACGTATGACAAGCAGAATGCAGCGGCCAACTGTTGCATACTGTTCTCTGCAAAAATGGCATAGGAGTAAAGCCGTGGGCGCGTTTGACCGTATTGGTGGTTTGTTCTTTTTTAGGGCACTCCGTTTTTGGTGGTGTTAAAGTAAAACCAACAGGAAACCACCATTTGTGGATCCCTGAACAAAAAGCCACATCCAAATATGTCTGGCTTCAGGCATGTTGAAACAGCACTATGTTTTAACATGCACCCGAGGGTCCCATGACGTCCACAATCCGTGACTCCGGTATTTGGCCTTGCGGAAACTGTGCGTTTTTGGGAATGGCAAAGCCGAATTGTCCCTTTTTGGGAGGATGCTTTCCATGGCGCTTGAATTGGCTTTGACCAACTTCATATGAGTTGGACATGAGGATTCGGTAAAATTGTATTGAGGCACACGCCAACAAAGAAAACCCCCTTACCAGCACCCGGGTCCATAGCAGCCACTGGCCTTTGACAGTTGCGGTTTTGGACGTCGAACAAGCGGTTGTTAGGACCCAGGTGCTGGTAAGGGAGTCCAAAGCTTGATGGCTATTTGGTTGGATCTGTGGACATTTCCTTTTTGGGAAACAGTGCAACTGTTTGCACTGTTTCGTTTGGGCCCACAAGAAGTTTAACTGTTTGCAGGGGCAATCAAAGGGGGTTCTCTTTTTGCATGAAACAAGTGGTTGCCCAGGTGCGGAAAGATGGTGATGAGGCATATGGGTGAGGACCCGCAGTGGAAACGAACGGCCGAGCCCAACCAAATGGTGGCCGGCGAGCAGCTTGTTTGGGGTTGCTACCCTTTTTGTTGGTTGGTTCTGGAGGGAACCAAAAGGAAAGCCGAAGCCATGTTGGGGGGGGGCTCCAACCTGAAAATGACGAGCCACGCAGATGTGTCAAAGCGAAGCCACGTGCTTTGGACACTGAATCAAGATGACACATGTGGGGGGGGGGCTTTTAGATAGACGCTGTCACTTGCATTGGGATGCGTCCCTGACACGGGGTCTGTATTTTCACTAGGCGACCAGTGGACCAGCTACTTATTGTTCAAGGGCATGTTCAAGTATGTGTTTGGGAGGTATGGATGCTTATGTACATCCAACATAAGCTCGTTAGGTGGCACATACCCCTTGTGTAAGTGATAAAACCTCCATACCTCCGGAACCATACCTGCAAATACCAGCTTGAATCGGTGGGTCCTAGGCCAGTGCGCCGAAACTTGGGAAGCGAAAGACCACCGAGCGCAAGATACAATCAGCGCAGGGGTCCGATTTTCGATGGTTTTTTCTGGGCCTCAAAATGTGGGTTGTTTCCGAAGGATGAGGAATTGGTCGCTTTCGGGCTCTCCAAGGAGGAGGGTGCCCCATGGGGTTTGCATTGGGGTCATGACCCTTAGCGTGGTTGAAGCTGAGAGAAGTTCCTGTGGTCAGACAGACGGGTGCCCAGAACCCTGTCCTTTTTTTTCCCACTGGCTCAGTGGGGAGTGGGGCTGGCCTAGGATCCAAGAGAAAAGCCAAGGCTCCTTTCCCGCTGCGAAGGACACCTGGGTCTTGGTTATGAAGCTCTCCAAGAACGACTTCTGCTACTCCTCCACACGGCAAACGGGGGCGCCGAGTTGGGGACATGGGTGGCTAGGAAGGGTACCCTTGTTCTAATCTCTCCACTGGGGGACCCAGGTGCCAGAAATTGGACTGCAGGTTTTGGCCCTTGGTTTTGTTTACCATGGCAAGCCATGTTGGTTCTTATTTTTGACCCACAGCCAAGTCGCGGTTTCAGTCTCGGCCAACATGTCCGGACTTGTCTATCCGTCTTGGAGGGACATGGGACTCTCCAAATCTGCCAAGATCAGGACTCCTCAAATCATCCGATGTCCCTCAGGATCAAGGCATATCTTGAGCATAGCTCATGTTGGGACTGTGCTTACCCCAGCGGATGGACATTTGTATAGAATATAGATGGACATCATGACTAGGTCCCCCTGCCCTTTTACCCCTTTTTGTGGGAGGGTTCCCCTACTAAAATTGAGTACAGGAAAAAGTTGGTACCCTGATTCTGTCCTCTCTACTGGAGGACCTAGATGAGTAAAGTAGCACCTAGACACCAAGGTAAACAATCCTACGGCATCATAATTCATATGATGATGGAACAGGGATGAAGAGAGGAAGGAATGCACGGCTTAGAGAAGAGTCCCATTCCTTTCTTTGATGGTTGGTTTCAACGGTAAATCAGCAGGAACACCTCTTGTTATTTTTCTTCTTTTTTCGGGGGTCGCCTTTGGTTTTCTTCTGTTTCGTCCATTTTGAGTCGTGGCCCCAAAAGGTCCGCCTTTTCTTTTTTTCTGTGTCCTGACAACTAAGCCAAGTGGGGATGGACCCTTTTGCGGGAATACTGCATCAAGTTTCATAGGAAGATTGAGGAGGCGTCAGGTTGATTCTGTCGAATTGTGCCCTCAGAATCATGCCAAGTGGTGCCTCTTGCCTCGCATCCAGCTCTGCATCATGTATCTCAGAAGAAGGAAAGAATGATGCAGATGCAGACTCTCCACGAGTTCTCCAAAGGGTCCCTCTTTTCTATGGCCCCCCCCGAAACGGATTTCGGTTTTGGAAGCACCAAATTCAACCTCCCGGGTACCAAGCCCAAAAACAAGCGGCGCTTGTGGCCGGCTCTCCCATTTGGTTTTGCTGTGGTTTCTTCGTCGCCAGGTGGACCGACGGTAAAGCCCATAACCCGGACAAGATGATGGACACCACTTTTCCCAATCATGCAGAATACGCGCCTCGGCAATAGCTTCCATTCCACTCGCTGAAATATGTGTTTTTTTGTTTCTCCCCCATCTAGGTTTTAAAGAGAATCTTTCTCACTACTGGAAATATGTTCCCATTTTTCCAGCCCTAAGGGTCCCGATTGATCTTGTGGCCTCACAATGGGTTGTTTTTGAGGGCCCATGAGGGGTCGGGGTTCTCCATTGGGACCGGGGTCTAGGGAGGGGACTTAAGCAAACGGAAGATCAGCCTCGGCAATGTGGATGGTTGCGACATATTCGGACATCACGCCGTTCAGAAGCCCTGGAATGATGTGATTCCCCGAACAAGGAACAAATCTTGGGGTACGTCTTCCATTGTTTCCAGGGATCCGAATCTTTCTAGAAAACCTCCAGAAACCCAAGAAAAACGGATCCGGTTTTTGAAAAGAAGGATGGTTGAACAAAATGGAAAAGGAATCAACCCCTAGAATACCCCTGAGTAACCCCTAGAATACCCCTAGAACAATGGATTCAACCATGATCTCAAGTGGTGCGAAATGGATTTCGTCCAAGCGCACGAATCACGCGCCATGGGTTTGGGAGCACACCTGGGTTTTGCTTGGATTTCCCGCAATTTTGAGGGGAGCACGTGTGGGTTTTGTGTTGATCCTGCGACCGTTTTTGGTGGAAAACCTCCATTTCAATCTCTTCAGAGAAACTTGCTGACAACTGGCTGTGGCTCAACAAACCGGCACCAAAATGGAACCCTGGTAAGTGGAAACATGGACCAAACCCTGCGTAACCCCTTCTGTTTAATTTTGAGCCACACCCAACTGGGCATCTTCAAGGCCCCTCCAAAGAAAGTTGTTCGGAGAGGGGCCGGGCAGCTGGGAGTTCCCTTCTGACGCATTGTGAAGCTGTCGTGCAAAGCTTGGCTTTCTGTTGGTTTCTCAAGACCAAGCAAAACTGGGAGAACTCTTTGGAGCCCATCTCAAAAGTGGCTGGAATGCTCCATCACCCGAAAACCACGAGGTTTATCCTAGTCTCATGAAGACCTCCGAACTCCGCGCGCGGCACAGATGGACGGCCCGCTAAACCGGACGGTGGGAACACCAGAGCACTTTTCGTCCAACATAGACCTGGACTCTCCAGCCCCTCGCAGGGCGAATCACTTTTGGCGGGTTGGTGCAATAAACGACTTTTAAAAGCTGGACCCTGAAGCTACCCGTAGAAAAGGGAATTCTCCCCATCACTTTTGGGGCAGTAGCCCCATCTTTCAGCGGAGTTTTCGGGTCCAGGTCGCTTGAGGATCCAGGTCATGCAGTTGTTTCGGGCGATTTCCACCATTTCCAGAGCCATCGGCCTAGAGACTCCAAAGCGCGGCGAGGCTCGCGAGTTGCGTTTTCTTTTTCCAAGAAAGCCCAAGAGTTTTCTAGGTCCCCCAGCGATTGGTGCCAACTTTTACCGTTTTTTTTGGGGACGGTTCCCCTAAAATAGACATCCTGAAGAAGTCGGTACCCTTATTCTAACCTCTCTACTAGAGGACCTAGGATTCAATAATACTTTGTAAGTATGCGCTTTGGTGATGTAATTGGTGTACTTTGTTCATTAAAATATGTGCATCCCAAAAACGGCAGAAATCTGAAGGAAGGTGGATTCATGGAGGGGTACCATATTTTGTACTTTAGTCATTTTGCAGCCCCAAAGGTGCATTCTTAGTTTCTTGTTGGTGCTCACTCAGGGAATGAAGTTAGGCTTTGGTCCCCTTAAAGGAAACCACCAGCAAGGGATGGTTTATAGGGGTCATTCCATGTCTCATTTCCTGCTGAGAATCGGCAAGATAAAAACCGACGAGCATAAGAAAAAACAGAAAGCAAACCGAACAGAGTGCGGTCAAATGACCACAACAGCATTCGGACCAAAACAGAAAGGCATCAGGCAATGTCTCATTCCATGTATCATCAGCTTTACTGGTCTTGGCATGTTTTTTTTTTGGTTCCGTTCATTTTTACTGGGGGTCTGCAAAAAGCAAAGCTTTTCGCTACCATACCAAGAGTAGATATGTCAAAGGAAACCATCAGCAAGGGATGGTTTAGTTCGGGGTCATTCCATCTCTGATTTCCTGCATCTCTCGCACCAGCAAGGTTTCCCACCGCAGCTTCCTTTTGTTGACCCCGATTTGTTTCATAAACCCGTCCTATTGATAAGGGGGTGCTCCTTTTAAAGGCGGTCAGAATCCCCAAAAACTTCCATTTGCATAAGTTGTTTTTTTCCACCCATTGGTTTCAAAGGGAATCTATCACCATGTTGTTTTTCTCCAGGGGACCCAAAATGGAAGAAAAGGTTTGTAAAGCTCTTTGGATACGACACGAGTCGCGGCACGACAGCGCCCAGGATGCCAAGCACATCGCCTTTCATCGGCTGAAGCATGTTGATAGCATCCTCTTGCAGACCCGGCGCCGCACGGTCGCAAGGGGAAGTGGTCTTCAAAACAGACTAAGTAAATGAACAAACAAATAAATACAGAAGTAAATAAGTATTTGTCTACAAAAAAAGACAACTTTTGGGACAATCTTTGAGGGAGCAGGTGCACAATTACACCGTACATGTGCTTTTGGAGGGATTTAGAGTCATAGAGGTTCCAGCTGTCCGCTGGATGCTTCCATCCAGCCAAGCTCAATAAACAGACACACAACTGCCAAGAACTTCTCCCTTGTGATTCTCCAAACTGACGCAAAAACATAGAGAACTAGGCTTCGGTCAAGCAGAATGGAGATGGTCATACTGCTGCATGTCGCTCAACATGCACAGCCTTGGGTATCCTTGATGTTTTCGTTGGTGCCTCTCATATCTTTTGTGTGTGTGTGTCCTGCATCAACCGCCACATTGATTGATTCACACGGCACCCTGCCGATCTCCGCTCGCTTCAATGTGACATGACATTTCGCACGCACTCGGCTTTCCTGCTCTCACTTCCGCAGTTCCTAGACGACCATTTTGGCGGTAAACCACAAGTTGGGACTTTTTCTTGACCAATTCCACAGGAAGTGAGATGTTTGGTTTCCCTTGAAAACCCAAGCAAAAGGGGCATTGGCTCTAACGGTCAGATGGCTGTTTTTTGAAGAACCCCAGCAAAAGGGGAGGGGTACCTAGGAAGAAAGAAAGACCGTCTCAGCTTTTCAGCCGGGGCATTCTCAGCTTTTGGCTCATTGGGCCATGTTGCTTGCAACCATTTGAAGCATGTGGCTCTTTCACCAAGTTGGAAGCCCGCCATTTACAATTGGTGGCTCTGAAGGTCTGAAGCCATCGCCTGCAAAAGGAAAAGTGCGCGTTTAGGCGAACCCCCCAAAATCTCCGCGAGCATGCAATGTTCAGGTGTATAATGCATCCGCATCGCTAAAGATGGGCAAGAAAAAGATCCTGGAGGCCAGCCTCAAATCCTGAGCTCATAGGTGCTTCTTTTTTAAGAGGGAGCTGGGGCCAAAACGAGCTGGAAAACCCATGATACAGGTCTTGGATCCTTGGGGATCCAACTTTTGGAGCTCTTGACATTAATTCGTAAGATTTGCAGATGGACTTTAGTTTCACGTTTTGGGTGTGGACAGCTTTAGTGGCATACACAAAGTTTGGTGACTTTGTTTGGCCCAACCACTCACTTCCGTTTTGAGCACCCCCCCCCCCCGGTACTGAAACCAAGAAGCATGGGGTACGCCATGGACCCGAGTTGTGCAGTTGCTCCATATTCAGTGCAACGTTTTTTGGTTTTATTCTCATGTTGGCCTTTCAGGTATGAGTTAGGTTTTGGGATGGAGGTTATACGCCACTCATAGGGGTATACACTGCCTTAGAAGCTTACATTGGTTGAAAGCAACACTAGCTGGACATGTCCCTGATATTGGCTGGTACAAGGCTGGTGCGTAGGGGCTGTCAGTCCTTGTGTCAGTCTTCACTGGTGTCAATGTCCACCCAACAACTTTGGAAAGAGCCCAACAAATTGATATATAATTGCTTTGTAATCATCTCACTTCCCCGAATTTCCGACCTTTGGACCTGTTGGTAAAAAACCTGGTTTGGTCTATTGTTGAGTCAAGGTCCCCCCAAAGGTGAACCTTTTTGCTCTATGCCCTTTGGGCAAGTGCACTCCCAATTGATGGAGTATTGCTGGAGTTTCCTTTTGACTATGGAGTTGATCGTTGCTTTGATTCAGTATGTCTGGATGTGACTTTGCACTAGATTCAGAATTTCTGCATGGAGCTTGTTCAATTTGATTTAGTGTCGCTGGAGCTTGCTTTGAGATGTTGATCTAAGTTTATCTTTTATGTAGTGTAGTATTGCTGGAGCTTCCTTTACAGATATGATTGATGTAAGTTCCTTTGGATTCAGTCTTGCTGGAGCTTGCTTCTGAGATTGGATTTCAGTATCCAATTGATTTACGTACCTGGACCCTCAAAGTACCCTTGCAGAGGTTCAGAGAAATTCTTGCAGCGTGGGCAGGGAGCACGAGACCCGCTGATTCTCAAGCTCATATGGGCTCCGCAGGTTGTTAGTGCCATGTTGGTATCAAGGTGTACTTTGTCTTGAAAACGGACGGTGGGGACGAGCTCCCGGTGGGAGGTTAACCAGGTTGGGTCGTCAGCCGGGAGGGGTCTGACGTGTGGTTGCTGTGGCTCCCGGAGCAGTCAAGAAGGTCTCTGCTGGCACCGTCAAGGCGAGTCAGTCTGGCTCCTCGGTCGGTTTCGTCAAGTTGCCAGCTTGAATGAAGCTTTGTGGAAGGCCGTCCGGATTCGCCCTCCGGTTGTGAAGAAGACTTGCCGTCTTCGCGAACATGTCTGGCAGCTTGGTACGTGGACGACGAGGTTCAACTGGAGAGCAGCGAGGCCGAGGCCCCTCCAGGCCCTTCGAGCTCTCGGATGGGGAAAAGGGGCCACGGAAAGAGGACCCTGGTTTTAGCGAGCAAGGCGTCCAAGGGCAAGGGTAAGCTGAAGTCCGAGGACTTGGTGGAGAAGCTGCAGTCTATCAGGGTGGCGGGTCGGCCAACGACCTGATGCCCCTGATCTTGATGAAGATGTTGCAGCAGCAGGGACGAAAGCGCCGAGCTTGCGGTGGGCGCCAGCGCTGGCGCCTGCAGAGGAAGAGCCACCGTCGGAATCACCTGCTTCGCTCTTTCGGCGGCATGAGAGCGGTGTCGGCCCTCACGAAGATGCGCGAGAAGGTGAAGAAGCAGCCGCGGGGAAGATTATCCGCAAGTTCGAGACCGAGGTGATTTCCGATCTCGGGATATAGCGGCTGGACAAGCCTGGACGTGCGGGGCTACCTGAAAAGCACCTGTGGGGATCTACCGCTGTGCCGCGCAGGATGTGGCAGCGCACGAGGGCTCCAGACGGACGAGGTGGGCAAAGAGACGGGTTAACTGTTTATTTGCCAGGTTCAACTTTGCTATTTTGGGGTTGCCCTTACGATTTGAGAGTTACAAGCCGGCAGCGGGTTTTTATTGCGGGAAGCTGGTTACCTCCTGCGCCAGGAACTTGTTGGCCGAGATTCGAGGCTTTTGTTCTCCGCAGCTGAGAACTAGGAGTTTTTCACAGGATGGTGAGCGCAAGGACAACGGGTGAGTGCGATGACCGTGGATCCACAGCGCATCGCTGTGCCTGGGGATCTTCGTTTGGGTCAGTGGCCTTTTCCTCTTCCGGTGGCATGTCACCAAGTTGCTAGGGAAAGGGAAGAAGAGCTGGCCCGCCTTCTGCTTCGCACTCACAGGAGGGGTGTGAGATCCTGCAAACTTCGCAGGGAGAGCCATTGCTGGGCGACACTGGGCGATGTTTTCATCGTGCCCAAGAATGAATATTATATATAGGACCGACTAAGATGTGACAGACGCCCTCAAAACTCAACAACGGCTCGCTTGAAATGGGCAAAGGTGCCCTCCGCGGCATGTCTTTCCCGGCTCCTTCTTCGGGACCACAAATTCCTGCGTGGCAGCGGCGAAGATCTTCGTAACTTCTACTACATGCTTCAGCACCCCCTTTTTGCTGTTTCTGCGAATTGTTTCGGGAGAAGAGTTTCGGCTGCTGTTGTGAAGGATTTTGGTGGAGATCCTCGCTGCTACAGACTGGCTTTCCGATATTGCAATGAGCAGGTTTGCTTTCTGAACGTCTCCTTATACAAAATGGCCGCGCCCCTCCCCGTGCTCAGATGTGGTATAAGGTGTATATTTGGATGACTTGTTGGTTAAGCGGATTTGTGCAACAAAACACAAGCAACCAGTTACACGGAGTTCCCACCCCCCAGCGCCAAACCCAGACGACGAAGACATGAAGGCAATCGGTGCGGCTAGATATGCTTACGGGTGCCCCAGGTTCAAAGCCTGGGGCGGGGAGGTCGACGGAGTCAAGGGTGTGAGCAGCTCCTTTGATAAGCCGCCAAGGCCTTTGCAAACGAATTGCGATCATCCTACGACGGGGTTACGCAGTGCCGGATTTCACCTTCCGCTTGCTGTTTGGAGCATGCGAAAGCGGGTATCAACCAAATTGCTGGCGACTCACGCCACCCCGTGTTCAGGCGGCACCACGGAGGCCGACATCCCCGCCAAACTTGCCCTGGAGTTATTTCGCAGACGGTACAGGGCTGAACATGTTCGCCTTGAAAGGGCCCCTGTCCCGGGCTCCCGCAATTTGGATGAGAAGCGCTGCACAGAGGAGACTAACGAGCTGGGCCGTAGATTGAGGTGGCGAACTATTGCTCAACACAAGTTCCGGCAGACTTCTCATCTCAACTTGCGTGGGCTCGCAGTCAAGAGGAAGGTTGTTCGGCTGACAAGGACCACAATGCGATCCATCTTTTCCTAGTTGATTCGCAGGTGTGTCTGAGTTTGGGGAAGGGTCATTCCAGCTCGTTCAAAGTCAACGGCAAATTGCGAACAATGCTACCGTGCTCAATTGCTGGCAATATATCTCTGGGTGTGAACTATATCCACACAAAGTCCAACTCTGCAGATTTCCCTTCACGAGACGCTCTCTTGCCATTTCCCGAACCTTTGCCAAGGTGTGCAAGCCGGCGCAGTCTCAACTATTTTGCTTTGCCAGTTGAGAAACCTGGACCCTGGGGGGCCTCTTCGTCCCAAATGTTGCCCTGAGGGAGATGAACGAGACCCTCAAGTGCGCAAAGGGAATAAACTTTGGAACCGTGCTCTTGGGCTAGCCTGCCTTGCGCACCAACAAGGAATCCTTTTCACCATTGAGCATCCCCGTAACAGCAGTTCGACGCTCGCGGCAAGTTATGGACCTACCTGGTGTTCGCCTGCGTGCTGTTGATTGAAAACCTAACCTACATTACTAGTACCGACGCTGCCATCCTTTTGGCGAGGGTGGTTGTGGAAGTTGCCAGAGAGTTGCGCGCCCTGATTGCGAGCTGTGTGGAGGCTAGCTGGGCCCTTGGTCACTTTCATTGAGGCGCAGTTCCAACTTTGACCAGGCTTGCATGTTACCTTAGGAGAGCCCGATGTCGGCAACGGCTACGCAGCCGCAGCCGCCGCAACAAGACCAGCATGCTTGGAAACCTCATCCAGAACCATAAGTCATAACATCCTGCCGCGGCCCTTCAAAGTGGAGGAAGGGGAGTTGGGTTGTGTGTGTTGCTCCCCCCCCCCCCCGCACCTTGAAGGGCCGCGGCTGGATGTTATGACTTATGGCCGCGCGATGCTTCGCACTCAATGTACCAATCTCAGCGTCTCAGTGTTCTGCTTTTGTGTCTTCACTTGGACTGTAGCACGTGTGCTCCGTGTGATGTCGACAGGACCGCGACAAGCAACGAAAGATAGACCGCATATTGGCCATCTTTCGTTGCTTGGCGCCATCCGTATGTAGTCTGCGCGATGTCGAGCTGACAGAGGTATACTCTTGGGTTTTTGCTGAATACCATGGTACCTCATGGAGACCATCATATTTGGCTGAGACTGCTTGAAGGTGCAGCGCATGAGGCCTGAAAAAGGGGGCCAGCTCGAAGCCGAAATCTCACATTGTTTTTATTAGAGCCAGCCGTTCTTCAGAGAAGCTTCGATTGGCGGGACCATGCCTGACGCTGTGTGAAGGGCCCATGTGAGTCAACAATGCCAGAATGTGTTTTCTGCAAAGCGGTTCTTCTTAGAGCTTCTCAGTGTTCTCGTTTTTTTTCTTATCGTCTCAGTATTCCCACTCTCAAAAATTGAAGGTCCAGGTGGTAAAAGTTGCCCTGAAGCGAGCCTTCCTGGATTCCTGCTTTGCCTCAGGCCCCGCTACCTTCCACAAGAGTCCCAGGATCGACTTCGATTCGAAAGGCGACTTTGGACTTTGGGTCCGACTCGCCCCGTTGTTGGATCGACCGAAAAGGCGTCTTAATGCGGGTCTGACCGCGCGTTTGTGTACGTCCAGCAAGTATTGGCAAAGTTTGGGTTGTGTCCCCTATAGTCCCCTTTTGCGGCGGGCTTGAACATCATATTTGGGCCAGATTGAAATGAGGGTGATTTTCAAGGGGAAGGAGAGGGTGCTGATTGTATTGCAGTATGTCTCCAGGTCGAGTTTAGCATTGGTATAGCATTGGTGTAATACTGGTTCAGTACTGCCTTACTATTGGTGTAAACCTTGCTAGCAATTCAGTATTGCTTTGGTTGGTGTAGTACTGGTTCGGTATTACTCCGGGGTAGGGGTAGACTTGGGATACAATCATCTTATCGACACTTTGAATCAAGCAACAAGATATACATTCTACAACCGGGCCTCACTATTATGTATTGGTGTAGTGCTTACTGCTGAGGCCCAGTTTCGTGCTTCAGTGCCAACATCCGGATCTCAGGTTTGGGCCGCTCTTAGAGGATCTCCATAATATTTGTGTGGCTTCGGGCCTCAATCGAATTCATGGATTGCTGTCTCAATGACATGGTTTGGGTCTCGTTTCGTTTTGGTGAGTGTTGGCGAAAAAAAGCTCACCGCGGGGAATTTTGCAAGGGCTGGGCGCAGAATTGCTCATTCACCCTGGTTCTTCTGGCAGCCATAGCCAGTTCTCGCCTCGGAAGCCTTTAGTGTTACTTTTGGCTGATTCCCTGTTTCAAAGCAACCAATCGCCTGTGGTAACTTGCAAGTTTTTCAACTTGCTCACCAACAGAAAGTCAGCTACCCCTGAATTGGTGGATTGGCTTGGGACTTTGAACAGCTCCTTTTGGAACCAAATAGGGTTTGGGAACCCCAGAAATTCCTGTAACCAGCAAACCAAGCCACCCAGAAGGGAGCTGAGGAACGGAGTCGACTGCACGGAATGGCCCAGAAACCCTGCAACGGCCAAACGCTTCTCACTTTGAACTTGCCGGCTACCGAGCCTCGAAGGGCCTGAGGATGCAACTTCACCCTCTTTTGGGCGCCCTAAGACGGTACCAAGGGACTATCTGGGAACAGGTTTCATGTTTGAGTTTCCACAGAGTCCCGTTTCTTGTAGCCATACCAAGTTCATGTTTGTAGCTGCGCATCCTAGTTCCAGAGCATTGCCAGACATGCGGGAAACATTCGTGGGTTCTCAAACATTAGATTTGTTGGATCCGCCATGTTTCACACTCCCTGAGTTCCTGGACTTTGAACTCTTTGGTAAGACGAGTGGTACACAAACAGTTCGGTTACTTGCTTTGGCATCAGCTCAGTGCGCGTCCAACTTTGCAAAGGAAAGATCCAACTGGGCCCAGCAAAGTGTGATCCTCAGAATTACATTCTAGATGGTTGAGCGGGAAACCACACCCAAAGGTTTTCCTTTGTATCCAACCCCAAACAAGAAGACTCTAAAACAGACGCGCCACCCAACTGTTCACTTTAATTTTCCCACCGTAAGGGTCCCGATTGATCTTGGGGCCTCACAATGGGTTGTTTTTGAGGGCCTATGAGGAATTGGCCGCTTTGGGTTTTTTCATGGGGGGGGGCCCGGAGGACCCTTGGGCGGAAGGCTTCAAAATCCTCGTTTCGAGGCACACCGCAGAGTCTCATGACCAAGAATTCCCACAAGTTGTCCAAGTACCCGGATTGGAACACCTGGCGACACGCAGCGTGGCGAAAGATTGGGCAAGGTTGAGCTGGCGAGAGAGAGAGAGAGAGAGAGATGAGTAAAGCAAACGCAGCCACCTTTAGAAATACATAGTACATTAACTTTGGATGAATCGTAGTCTAGTAGTCAGAGGAACCCTCTCTAAGACCGGTTTGCTTCAAGGAATGTGGAGGGATCGGTTTTTATCGAACCTCGCGGCAAGTGAGCTACACAGTAGGCCTAGGTGCTATCCCCCGCCTCGGAACAAAAGGAAGGAACCCCCAAGTTGCTATCTCTGAAACGCTCCCAAGCCCCAAACCCCAGGGCCTGTCGAGACCCACAGCTGTCCGCTGAAAACAAAAGCATGCCCATCCGTTGTCAGCCGCTGGACGTCAGTCACGCGTCACTCTCAAAAAGGTGAATGAAATAGGTCTTATTCCCGGAGTTCAGGACCATTGTAGCGGCAAACAACAAGTGTGGTTTGTTTTGCCTCTTCACTCAAAAGGTGAGAGGTGTAGCACGGTCCAAACACCCCTGAGATTTGGACCGCCAGGTCTCTGGGTGAAATGGCCGAACTTGGATGCAGATGCATCTCCGACTTCCTAGGTCTAAGTTTGGTCCCTTTGAAGGCAAAACTGCAAGCTGGCCACTCCTTGCGCGTCCAGGGGAATTAATCTGGCTGTGGGTCAAAACGAATGGTAGCATTTTGGGGTAGGTGCGCCACCCATTTTAGTCTATTTTAGTGGGGATTGGGATGTTCACTGGGGGTACGGGATTTTGACCCATGGCCATATGGCTGCGTCTTTGTGGGCGGTGTGGCTGAGTGAGGTTTGGTTGTTTGCTTATTTCGGTTTTGCCCTCAGGCAAATCATAATGTCAAGGACGGGTACGCCTTCGCTCCACCTGCATAGCCGGCCTTTCCAGCCACGCCGCTTTTTTGTAGCCCCGGAGGCTCCAAAATGAGGCTTAGGCCTGCAAGTGGGGGCCCTCTCAGACCTGAAAACCGCCCTCCTTCGCGGCGTGTTTGGCCCTTAACGAGCATGGGCCTTGATGTGTGGGTCCCTGCATTTTCCCCGGCACACCGGCCACTGGCACAAAAGGGTTTGTTTGCCAACAAGCCTGGAAAGCACGTGGATTTTTTTCATCTGACGGATCATGATATTCCGGCAACATGGCCAATGGGTATTTGGGGTGTTGTTTCTCAAGACCCTAAAATGGATTTCGGTTTTCCTGGTGGTTTCCCATTTAATACCAGCCCAAGAAGTGGGGGTACCTGGACCCTCAAACCCTTAAACAATGGACACCACCCCAGAAGTGTTTTTTGCCATAGCCCATTTTCAAGTTGGTAGTTCAGGAGGGTAAAAAAGGGGTACCAACTCCACAAAGAAAAGCTAACACGACAATCAACATGAACTTTGGTTTTCCTCCTGTTTTCCTTTGAAGAAACCAGCCCAAACCTGGCACCAACTCCAAAAAGGCGAGAAGACAAAGAAGACAACCACCAACTCCGAAAAAAGCGGGGAGAAACAAAAAGGAGAAGCACAAAAAGACTGAAAAACAAAAACCGACGAGGCATCGACGTGACGCGTGAGCGAAGCGAAGCAACAGCTTCCGTCTGAGGCCTTTGGCTCGGATCGGAACCGCGCGCCCGCCTTCTTCCGCGCGGGGAGCATCGTGGCCGACCCAAAGCCCGGAGCCCCGCGAGTCGCTGACCGGCGCCCGTCCTGACTGGGCTGTCCTGACTTCGGTGCGTTTGAGGTCTTCTGGAACCTCTGGTTTCCGGGCAGAAAGGGGAAACGGAGCACCTCCCAACCACAACCCACCCCTTTCCTTTGCAGTTTGCCAAGGGATGTTAGGACTGAACAACTTTTGGCCAACTATTTGTGGGTTTTCCGAATTCAGCCACTTAAAGTTCGTCACTTTTCACAGGGCTTCGCAGATTTCGCCACCGAGCTGAGATCCCCTGCCAACAGTTCTCATTTTATTTTTTAGCTCGGGGTCCCGAGCAAAAGGCAAACATCTGCAAACCCCCAAGCGGACGGACAGGAACCACCCCAAGCGATTTCGTGCAACCCCCCGGGAGAACCCGAAGCGAGCAATTGGGACACCCCCTCAAGGTTTGTTGAGGCCGGTCGGCTTTAGGGAAGCCAAAAGGAAGGCCGAAGCAAAAAAGTCATTTTGGGGTTGGAAGAGGGCGAGGTTTAATGACCCAAGAGAATTGGAAGCCCCATTTCTGGAGGCAGTAACCCATTTGGCCGTGGGTCAACACCAATGGTGCCATGGGTATTTCGGTCTATTTGAGTGGGGAGTGGGATGTTCACTGGGGGTACGATTTGGGTTTTGACCCATAGGCATTTGTAAGGGTTTCAGACCTGGGCCTCAAGCTACTGGCCCAAACCATTTGGGGATGCCGTTGTGAATCAGAACTTTTGCTGGGTCGACTACTCACAAAGAGAAACGAAGTTGGCATTCACCCCAAGTTCTTTGGGGTAGCCCACTTTAAAGGGAATAGTCGGAGCGTCCAGGTAAGCATGGCCGTAAGAGGAAAATATGTTTGGCAGGGGGTCTCCAGAAAAGACCGACCCCCCCCCCCTTTTTTTGAAGGGCTGGAGGTCTGCGGTCACGAGATGTTTAACTGCTGACTTTGCTTTTGTTTGGTTGCTTCTCAAAAAACGAAGAAAAAAAAACACGCCACTGAACACGCCAGTTGACAGCTGTTGGGGGGAGAGTTCTGGCAGTGGTTCCATTTCCCTGTATATAGGTGCGTTTTTCTTGTGAGGGGTCCCCTTGTGATAAAACCTACTTTTGGGGAAGGCTCTCCGAACAAAGCCACACATGTAGGTTGCCATGGGGTGGTCAAAAGGATTCATGGCGTCAGGTTTGCTACGGTAGAGGCTTGTTTGGGCTGGGGTGAAAAGCTGGGAAACTCAATGGGATAGACCAAAGTTGTGAGTTGTGCTAGTTCCCTGGGATTCAGTCCACCATCAAAACAATGGGGGGCTCATACCACCATTGTTTACCTAAGGATTGTCATCCAAGTTGGGTCCTTTCTTTTCATGGCGCTTGAAGCCTAGGGAGTTGCTTTCACTGATTTGTATATCCCAGGCCAAGAGTTCTGAATCCCAGCCTGCTTGAAAGATGCCGGCTTGAAGCCTAGGGGACCCAAGAGGTTGGTTTTATTTTGGCTCCCCGACAAAAAAACAACTACAAAGATGGAGTCAGAATTCGGGGACCTCAAAGAAAAGGTTGGTTTCCCTTTGGTTCAAAGACAGGTTTCCCTTTTGGTTTCCCTTTAGTTTCCCTTTGGTTCCCCTTTTAACACCAACTACCTGGAGTCTCCATGTCTCCATGACCCAACTAAAAAATGGGTCCATCACCCCATTTTGGCGCGTGACCCACCATTGTTTAGACTCCAGGTCGCCTCAACACACCCAGTTTCTTTGATCCAGGAGGGGGAAACGGCCTAAGCCAGAGGGCCCTTTTTTCACCTCAAACCGGGGACCTTCGGGCCCCCCAAAAAATGGAGTCTTCCATAAGCTGAAATCTATATGTTTTGTATCTTTTTCTCTTGGTTTTAAAGGGAATCGGTTTCACTACTGGACATGTTTTCCCATGTTTTCCAGGGGACTTGAGCAACTGGGAGGATTTCCAATTTTCCTTTCCGTTTCGGTTGCCCCTAGCTGCAAACCGGGTCCCTTCAAACAAAAAACAACACGAGATCCGCAAAAAAGAAGAATAAAGAAAAGACTCCGGAGGCCCATTTGCCGAAACTCCAATCTGCACATCAGCGGCTGCGGCAAGCCGTGCATGTTCTGCATGATGGCAGGCCGGGACTTGGCCCTTTTAGCCTAACGATGGCGGTCCAAATGGTTGAGAAGGCCCAGTTCGTTCTTTTGTGGGTTCTTGAATTTGCCCCTCCAACCGGTTTACCCCAAAAGGTACCATGAATCTGGGGGTTGATTCCTTTTCCATTGTTGTCAACCATCGTTCTTTTCCAAAACCGGATCCGTTTCCCTAGGATTTTGATGGTTTCCTGAGAAGACACATCCCTGGAAAGAATGGGGAAGGTACCCCTATAGGATTTATATATGAACCAAATATCTAGGACACCCCCAAAAACGGTGGCGTTTCTTGTGGTTGCCCTGTAAAATAAAACACAAACAGGTACCCTCAAAAAAGACAGACCCATACTGCATCAGATTTGATGCGCATTTGCACCGGTGTTTCCCAGGGGGATGCTGAAGGTTTAGGCACTCCCAGCGAACACTGAACAAACGTGCATATTGTCCGTCAACGATAGAGGACAACTTGAGTTTATGTTGACCTGGACCCTCAAACTAGCCTTAAAAAAGGGAAACCACCCCAAAGATTTTGGGGCCGCAACCCATTTTCAAGGGTATTTTCTTCCCCAGAATTAGCTCCCCTTTTTCCTTGTTTGTTTGTTTGGGGTCCCTTTGTTTTCCACTAACCAGGCAAAAACATATATATATATATATTTATATTTGCTGGGGTCCGGTTTTTCCAGCCTAGTTTTGAGGGTCCAGGGACATCCAAGCGCACCACTCTCAAACAAAAATGGGACTCTTCTTGACAAACACACCGCATGCATCTACCGCATATGTTTGTTCTCTTGTAGGGGTCGATCGGTGCCTAAAAACGCGATTCTCCCCTGGTCGAAACCAGCAGGAAACCACGAGACCAAAAGGAACTTCCTAACACATCGCTCACAAAACTTTCCATTCGAATGGGGAATCCGGGCAAGACTGTATACTTCAAACATGGTGCCAGTGCTAGCACTTCTGTTGCAGGACTTGGAGGAACTGTGAAAGGATTTGCCCATGACTGGGAAGATCTTTTTCCAGCTTCGCCACCCAGTTTGCACGGTGCCAAGATAGAAGGACTTTAGCAATGCCTGATGTATGTGGTCTTTTTCCGGGAGAAAACAAAGGGAAGAGGATGAGTGGGGTGCGGGAGGGTCGCAACCCACATGTTTTGTGTTCCCTCAATTGGTGGTTTAGATGAATGGCGAGATTGGAACAGTAAATGGAACCAGCAACTAAAACTACCCTAAAAAAGGGGAAGCACTCCAGCTATGGCCATTTTCAAGTGGGTATTTTGAGGATCAGGTACCCAAATGGCACCAAAGGGTAAATGGGACACCAGCCCAAACCCTTTTTGGGAAGCTCACATCTTTGCCGCTTGCAACGAAAACAACTGGAAGGACTTCAGCGAGCCAGTGGGGTGTGCGCCAAAACAATGCCGCGGGTCCAGTGACTTCTGCTTTAGGAGTACTTTCCATTTCCAGGCATATCAAATCTAGGGGTAGAAGACTGAAGGATGCCTGGAAAGAATGGGGAAGGCTCGTGCCCAGATATTTGGTCCATACATAAAGTTCCAGGGGTACCATTCTGAACCCAGGCATCTTCTGTCTAAAAACCACCCCAAACCCTGGGGAAACAGCGATCGGTTTTTGAACAGAATGGGGAATCAACCCCTAGAAAAGTTCCAAAGCTCTCCATACTTGGCAGGGAAGTTAACTTATCTCGATGGTGCGAGAGATGCAGGGAAGGAGAATTGGAATGACCCCTGTAAACTATCCAACTGTTGGTGTCCTTCATTCGGGAATCCTCAAACGGTTCATTCCATTTGAGTGTGGCCCAAAATTCAAGACCTAGGGATACGCTGGTTTTAGTCATTGGTTCCATTTACGGTGCCATTTTGGGTACCTGGACCCTCAAATGGCCATAGGCCCCAAAATCTTTGTGTGGTTCCCCTTTGTTAAGGGCAGTTTGAGGGTCCCCTTTTTTGGGCTGGTATTAAAGGGAAACACAAGGAAAACCAAAATCCATTTTGGGGGGGATCCTGAAAAAAAAATCCCAAAGACCCATGTTGCCAGAGTATCGTGACCGCAACAAGTTCTTCGCCTCCTAGGTCCCCCAGCTAGGTGCCCCTTTCTCTCCGTGTGGGGGAGGGTTCCCTAAAATAAGCATCCTGAAAAAAGTTGGTACCCTTATTCTAACCTCTCTACTGGAGGACCTAGTTGACTTTACACCAGTTTGGACATGTTTTCGCGATTTTCAGCGAGGAAGTGAGAGGTTTGAAGGAAGTTCTTTCGTGAGTGATTTGCTCGAAGTTCCCTTACTTACCTCTTAAAAACACAACTTTTCAACTTTTTGGGTAACGTATGTAAAAGATTCACTTCCCCAGGGCTTGGAGTTTTAAGGGGTAAGCTTAAGTTCTTCCAACAGGCGACGGCCACGGTTGCCCCACCTCTGGGGCCCACAACGACATCAGCAGCGGCCTGGGGCTGAACGCCGCCTACTGCGGCGGCGGCGATGTGCCTTGGATCTCCTGAGCCCGGAACCAGTGGGAGCGGTGGACGGTTTTTTTTCAGTGGGAATGCGACTTCCAGTGGGAGCGGTTTTTGCTGCTGGTTTTAAAGGTGTGTTTTGTTCACGTGTTGTTTCATCATGTGGCAAAACGGCCGAATGGCCGTTTGGCTCAAGTTTAACCTCCCGTCAGGTTAGTTTTGGTAGCACGGCACTCGCCATAGCACGGCATCTCGCTGCGTCGCCGAGAAAGGACTCTCGGCGCTGGGGTGGGCTGGTGCTAGGAGGTAGGTGGTGCTGCGGCAGGACTTGCCTGGGCCTGGTTAAGGTGATCTTTTGCAACTTGCTGTTTAACCTTCACTTCAACCACCTCTTCCTCAATCATCACGTCCTTCAACCTGGTCACCGGCTTCAGTCCACTGAGTCGTGAGTCCGGGTTCTTTGGGTTCTTCGTGGATTACGTGAACCCTTTTTGATTCCCTGGGCAACGCCCTTTCCGCCCAAAACCGCAGGTTATCAGCCGTATGCTGGGAACGCCCACCATGGGAACCACCATGCCCGCACCGCCACTGACCCAGCCATCAACCGACCAGTTGCCGATTCCCCTCCATGGTAGGCGTCCCCGGCGGGAATTGAACCACAGACCCGGCGCCACAAAGATGGTCGAGGACAACACCTCTCCCATTACCACGGGTTATCAGCCGTACCAGCTAGAAGCTGGGGCTGGTGATCCGGTTGCGGGACGTGACCCGCTACCTGCTCCCATCGCCTACTTGTACGAGCAATGGCGTCCCCCGGAGCTTCTCATCGTGGGCCGGGCTTCGTGGACGACGAGGCCAACGCCCTTCGCGGCAATGCCGCGCCTGCTGCTTCCGGCTTAGACAGCCGGCTGTGGCCCATCCCCCCGATGGTGGGCGCAGAGCCCAATCTCGGGGTGATCACGGACGATTGGATCCTTTCTCAGGTTGTGTTTGATGAGGATGCGGAGGCCCCTATCCCGGCGGCAGTGCTCCAGATCGAGGACGGACCCCCTCTAGAAGAGGCTGAGGTTCCTCCAAATCAGGTGCCCTCATCGATTTCGCCTACTGTTCCGTTCGTGGCGCTCCAGATCGAGGACCGGGCTATCCATCATGCTGCTCATCCGGAGCCGGCTCAATCATGGTCCCTTACATGGGATCAGTTTGACCAACTCCTCGGCAGTGGATCGCAGGCTACACCGCCTGATTTCGGTCGGCTCGACTTTAACTCGGGTGCCCCCGTTTCGGTTGGGAATCTGGATTTTCAATCCCTTTTTGATGCTGATTGGAGGTCTCAGCCTTCCCGAATTGACAGATCCTTTGATGCCCTGCCGTCGCATGAGCCTACTCAGGGTTTTCCTCATGATGGAGAAAATGACCCCATTGAAGATTTCTCCCCTTCTCATGTTGCAGGTTCGGCCCAACCCGAGGTGGGCAAACGGGCGATTGAGGATTGGCCGCAAATAGCTGGCCCTCCTCCCGTCTCAGGTTCATCCGACATTGACATCATTCACGATCACCCCAGTCCGGCGGATATGGACTTCATCCCTGATGCAGTATCATCTCACCTGTCAGGTACCCGTGACCGGAATGCGGACCGCTACAACGCTGGTCCGAATCCACCGCTTTCCTCAGGTACCCGAGGTCGGGATGCGAACCGCTACAACGCGGGCTCAAATCCGCCAAATCGGACATCAGGTACGATCGGATCGGGCCGCGAAACAGCAGGCCCAAATCCTTCCTCCTCTTCGTCAAGAAGCCATGCCGGTCTCTTCGCGGCGTTCAATCGGCGTCAGACTCGAAAAGAGTCCGCCCCCGACGTCATCGACCTCGAGGAGCAGTCCAGCCACCGTACCAGCGATGGATCCGAGCAGGATTGGTATTGGCTCTACTCCATTTGACCTCCTCGACATCCCCTTCCATCAGCCACCCAGGAGAGGAAATGAAGATGATGAAACCATTCCTGGGATCCTTGATGTAATCGATGAGGCCGAGGTCACACCAGAGAGACGAACTACATCGCTCCCGCCGAGCCGCGTTGCCAAAGTACTTTCCCCTAAGCCACTCAATGGTGACGTTGCTCAACGGCTTGATCTCACTCAACCTAATCCAGATCAAGCTCAACTTCGCGGATCATCATCATTTGATAATGTGTCGGGACAAACCGGCACTGACTCACGAGCCACAAAGAGGAGCTCTGAGTCACCCGAGAGACGTGAAGCTGCTCTCCGACTGCGATCTAATCCCCCAGCTCATCACGATCCTATTGACGTTCCTATCCACTCTGCGGGGTCTGGGCTCAGCTCCAATGCCCCGATGTCCGAGAAGGAGACTGATGACGGGATTAACTCTACGCCTAGGAACCGGAGGCCTGGACTTAGCGCTGTTGCCCCTGGATATGGAGGGCTTCCTTCGAATCAACCGGTTAACGACTCCCTCGTTCCCGCATTCTTTCAAATCGGAACTCCGGGCTGCACTCCCGACAGGGAAGAAAATAGTCGCGGAGATCATGACGCTGATAGTCGTCCTGCTCCGTCTGCTTCCACAAGTGGCGGCCATCCTGTTGCATCTGAGCTTCAACGACTGCTTCTCGCGATCCACAACGAGGTCAAGGGGTGCAAGGCCGAAATCCAGGGGTGCAGAACTGAGATTCGGTCATGTAGGGATGATATCAACGCTTGCGTCGGTGAGATCAAGAAGATCAATAACCGTGTTGACGCCTTCGAGAAGAAGGTTGAATCATCTTTCTCTGCCGTCGCCGGAACTCTCTCAAAACACGAGGCTAAGTTCCGTGATTTCCACGAGTGGGTCGCCCGAAGCGAGAAGGAGACGAATGAGCGTTTCAAGATGTATGATGAGAGATCTGATTCGATCGTCACATCTGCTGCTGGACTTCGCGAGCAGGCCGAATCACTTGAGAACGTCAAGGTCCAGCTCCTTAGGTTCTCTGAGATCGGAGCTCTTGAGGCTGAAGTTCGGAAAATCAAAGACGAAGTTGAGGCGAACTCTCGCAGTGTCATCGAGATTGAGGGAACCATATCAAGGGAAAGAACCATCCGTGGGAACGTCGAGACGTATATTCAGCATCTCGTTCCTGCGACCGACCTGAAGCAGTTCAGTGATAGGGTGTCCGGAGCCCTCAATGAGAACTCACAGAAACAGGAGGAGTTCAAGCTTCAATTGTCC